TAAAAAAAAAAAAAAAAAAAATCAATGGAAAAATATCCTTGGGTGAGGATTAAAAAATAATAATATATAAATAAAATCAATTTAAAAATTGCTCTGATATATATGTTAAGATTCTCAACCTCACACATAAGAGAAATGCAAATTATACTGAGATAGCATCAAAAAGTTTGGGATCCTGGCTGCGTAGCTCAGTTGGTTAGAGCATTGTCCTGATATGCCAAGGTTGGGGGTTCAGTCTCCTCCGATCAGGGCACATATAAGAAACAACCAATGCATGCATAACTAAGTGGAATAATAAACTGATATCTGTCTCTCTCTCCCTTCCTTTCTCTCTCTCCTCAAATCAAAAAAATTTTTTTAAAGTTTGAAATGTATTATATTAGTAAGTTTGGGGAAGGAACCAGGCACTCATTGCTAGTAGGATTGATATGACTATTTTAGAGGGCAATTTGGTGTTATCTATTAAAATTACAAATGTGGGGGCTGAGGGAGGTAGAAGAGGGTAAAGGGCATGAATGGTGATGGAAAGAGACTTGGTTTTGGGTGCTGAACACACAATATACATATGATGTATTATAGAATTGTACACCTGAAATTTATATTTTATCAACCAATGTGACCCCAATAAATTCAATAAAAATTTTAAAAAATTAAAATGAAATTACAAATGCAACTAGCCTTTGACTCAACAGCTCCATTTCTAGGAAGTAATTCTGCAGATAAACATATGCAAAATTTTGGCATTGTTTACAGTATTAAAAGGTGATAGACAACATACATGTCTATCTATAGATGTATGGTACATCCATTCAGTGAACTACTACTTAATTAAAAGGAAAAAATATGTGTTGGAAGTTTTGTATGTACTGAGCTGAACCTATCAAGATATGTAGTTAAGTGAAAAAGGCAAAATGAAAGTGTACTGATGTGCTATTATTTGTGTAAAAAAGAGAATATTTATACACTCATACCTACTTGCACATGTTTGCTTTTGTATTATAGGATAGCTTTGGATGGATGGACAATAAACTGGTAACACTGGTTGTCTCCAAGAAGGGAAGCTTGGGTGTCTGGGGACAGAGGGAAGGCGAAACTTTTACTTGGTACTTCCTGAATTCTGGCTCATGCAAGCAAATGTATTACCCACTCAAAAACTAAAAATAATACAGATTTAGGTCTGCTGTTTAAAAAAGAACACAATAAAAACTTTTCATTTGGGGAAATTTTCAAAGGACGGGTAACATTAAGAGCAAGAATTTGGTATGGTCTAGAGCAGAAAGAAATTAAATTTGGCATCAAAAACAGTTGTAGTAGTGGTTCATCAGGCTTCCCTAAAGCCTAGATGAAATCTCAGAATTATATTACCTCTAGTTACTTGGCCACCAAGCAAATCTCATCACTTCCAATTTTTTATTTTGAAAACAATCGAGCCTACAGAAATGTTGAAAGAACAGCGCAATTAAACACCCATGTACCCATTACCTAGATTCATCAATTGTTAACATTTTGCTATATTTGCTTTCTCCCATTTTCTCTCTCACACACACACATATTAAGTTGCAGACATGTATATCCTCATAATGACATTCTCCTATAGAACCATAAAACTATTATCACACCCAAGGAATTTAACACTAATACAAGAATATAATCTAATATATAGTTTATGTTCAAATTTCCGAGTGTCCCCAAAATATCCTTTATAGGTGTTTTTTAAAATAAAGAATTTAATCATTGTTTTTTTTGTTTCTAGTCTCCTGTAACCTAGGAGAGATCCCCTTTTTGTTTTGCTTTGATTTCATGACATTGACATCGTTGAAGAGTCCAAGCCAGTTTTCTAGAAAATGTCCCACAATCTGGATTTGGTTACTTCCTTCCTCATGATTAGATTGAAGTTAAACATTTCTAAAAATAAGAATACTAGCCCTGCCTGGGTAGGCTCAGTTGGTTAGAGCATCGTCCTGATATACCTACAGGGGGCTTTCATTGACATATCTTCAGAGGTCTTTTGGATACACAGCAAAAAAACTCTTCAGTTCATAAAGAGACACTGCTTAAAAAATATTTCATATAATAAACTTATTTTAATAGTGCAAAAAATAATCTGCTTCCAATCAGTAAAGAAAAAACTTCCAAAAACTTTAATAAAAATAGGCAATACTTTGAAAAAAAATCAAATAAGTAAATACTACAAATTATGTATTCTAAACACAAGAAAGCAGAAACCATCATTACAAGCCAAATCATTTTGGAACTGATAATTCCAGGTTACCAAAATGTATAAAACAAAACTTCTACTATTTAGGCTTATAGAAAAGAAATAAAACAATTCCAGTAAGAAAAGTAATTTAAATTTCATGGTAAACAGATCATATTGGTGACTTTAAAAGTTTTTTAAGGAGTACATGGAAATAGGGAACATCTGCATCTTGATTTTTATGGCAAATGATTTCTATTGACTTTATTTTTTTTAAATGACTTTTTTATTGAATTTAAAAATTATTTTTATATGCCTTTATTGATTTCAGAAAGAGGAAGGGAAAGGGGAAGAGAGACAGAAGCATAAATCATGAGACAGTCATTGATCAGTTGCCTCCTGTACCCCGCCCCCCCACACTGGGATCAAGCCCACAACCCCGGCATGTGCCCTGACGGGGAATCGAACCTCAATCTCCTGGATCCTAGGTGGATGCTCAACTGCTGAGCCACACCTGGCCAGGCTGTGTTGACTTTTAAAGCTTAAACGACCATGTGATATTTTGAATAATAACTCAGAAGTCAAACCAAACCAAAAAGGATCCACAGGACTTTAACCTGATCTTAAAGTAAAATTTTAAGATGAATTAAGTTTAAAATTGCAAATATATTTTAGTTTAGAATTAAATATAAACAAAAATGATCATGATTAGGATTTGACTAAAGTTTGGGTAAAAGTCTTTTCTGTTTGTCTATACCACAGACAATGATCATTCAATATAAATGGATATTTTTATTTTTGTATATGAAAAAGGTATAGCTTCAGAAACCAATACTTAAGTTCATTACTACTGCCAGAATTTGACAAAACTGGTGTTATAGTTGTGATATTGCTTGAAGTGTAATTATTTAAAAAAAGGAGTTGAGAATATTGCTGTAAAGCATCCTTCAGAAAGAAAGTGCACAATGGTATCTCTCTAAACATCTCCGTATATTTCTATATATCTCCTTACTACATCACAAACACAAAATCAATATATTATACATATGTACTGGACCAAAATCAATGACCTTTCCCTACAAAATTATTCTTACAAAGAAAACATTAATAGACATGTAAAAATAAAAGGAAGTAAGATCCTCAAGAAAAAAATGGCAAACAAACTAATAGTTGAGTGCTACTGCTTTCTTTTAATAACATTTCTGGAGTGGAGAAAAAGGAGGATGAGTAGTTTGCAGCCAGATATGTCACTATTCCAGAAATATCTGCTAGACAGAAGCCAGGAAACCTAAAAATCATAGCTCTATATACGGGGAAATAGCTTATGTTTTTGTCAGTGGTTACACCTCCTCTTATGCTTAAAAGTTATTCCTTAGGCTTGTACTAAAGCAGAGAGCCCCACTTTAGTTAGGAGAAACTGTCTCTAAGTGTTCTACCACTTAAACCTTTAGCAGAAAGATGAGCAAGTTGATAGCAGGCTATTTGAGGCCTTTCATTATTCCTGACTGTAGAGCTTTAAAAACTAACCCTACAATTTAACTAGAAAATCATCAGAAATTTTACTAGGCTTCTTTCTAGGACCTGAAGATGAAGATTAAACAGCGATGGAGGCTCTAACATAATACTATTGTTAAGTGTACTGTGCTTGGTTGTTATAGCTGTGGTCCAAGGGTCTACTGGTAGAAATCACAGCCCTGAAGCAGATCTTGGTAAATTTGTTTGACAACATTCTTTAGGTAGTTGTCCTCCAGTGGCACTTTAGATAGAAGGGCAGAAATTTCATCTTGGCTGGAAAGAACAAAAGGTTAATTAGTTTTTCTGAAAACTTACACTTATCTCCATTTCAGTGAAACTCATGTTTTTGGGTACAATCTCTGAGTCTCAAATAGGCATTTCTGGAAAATTAGATTATTCGGTTTTAACTGAGATTCTAAAAACAAAGCCTAAGAACCAATTCTGTATGTAATTGTGAGGTATCTTGACTTAGCTGCTTTCTCTGGCTATAAAAAATCTAAACTGTTGGACTGTTGGTGTTTGCTGATGGATCTGAGGTAGGCCATTCTAAATTCTGCCATTTACAATCTGTCAGCCATATATCTAAAAAGTCACACAATATATAGTAGGAATTAAATATTTTTAGGTCTGGTTCCATAGGCTAATTGAAAAAAGCATTATAGCTGCACAGCTTTTTAAATGATTATTCTGTTTTTAAGACCATAAAAGGGTGTTCATATATGACCTGGGCTAAGCTTACGCAGGATTTTTTTCCTTCTTGATTCCTAATTTAGGTAAGAGTGTTAAAAAGTGGAGCAAGTATAAAAGAATAGACCAATGGTCTCCAGCAACCTCTGGAGATAACAATGAAGGTCAATGACTTTAAAAGAACAAATTCTTCAAAATGAAGTCAGAGAGGAGTAACATTTGACTCTCACTATGGTCTATCATTTGCTGACCACTTTGAAGGATCTTTTAAATAATATTAATAAAGGTAAAAAAGTAGTTGGAAGCCCTATCCTGCTGGCCCTTCACTCACCTGATGTCTCCAAGGTGATTTTTAATGGAGAAAGGTAATAGGACAGATGGGTAATGCGCTGAGAGATACAAAGTTATCTCAAACTTTGCAAATGCTGCAGAGCTGGAGAATAAAAGCCTCAATCTGTAAAAAACAAAATCCTCAATTAAAAATACAAAACAAAAATAGAATAAAACACAAATATATTTTCCTTTTACAATGGCATGTGAAAAAGGATTACATTATTTGTTTTTTCTTTTTTTTTTAATTGATTTTTTAGAGAGAGGAAGGGAGAGGGAGAAAGAGAAACACTGATGTGCAGGAAGCCTCCTTCTGGGAATAGAGCCTGGAACCCAGGCATGTGCCCTGAATGGGAATTGAACCAGCAACCATGCTCAACCAAATGAGCCACAATGGCCAGGGCAGATGTACATTATTTCTTGTCCTTATCAGATAGACAGAAGATAAAACGTCTGGAACAATGTATTATTATGGTTGGTTTTTCATAACTAGTCATGAAACTCATTAATAAAATATTTTAAAAAGCTTTCTACTACTTACTTTTATGATTGAACTTGGCCTCCCCCCAATTCATATGTTGAAGCCCCAACCCCAGTGCACCTCAGCATGTGGCCTTATTTGGAAATAGGGTCATTGGAATTAAGATGAGGTCCTACTGAAGTATGGTGGGTCCCTAATCCAAAATGACTGGTGTCCTTATAAAAAGGGGACATTTGATCACAAACATACACACAGGAAAAACATCATGTGAAGATGAAAGCAGATAGTGGGGTTACATATTTAAAAGCCGAGAAATGCCACATATTGCCAACAAATCACCAGAAATTAGAAGGGAAGCATAAAACAGGTTCTCTTTTATAGCCCTTGGAAGGAACCAACCATGCTGACACCTTGCTCTCAGATTTCCAGCCTCCTGAACTGTGAGATAATAAATTTCTGTTGTTTAAGCCACCCGGTTTGTAGTACAATTTGTATGGCAGCCCTAGGGAATTAATACACTTACTCAGTATTATTCACATCTATGTTCATTAGGTTATAATTTGGTCCCCATCTCTTTAAAAACTCAATCTCCTCTCCAAGGAGTCTGCAATGGCTTACTACCAGTGAGATTTCTTGAAGCATCTGGGGAAAAAACAGGACAAAAAGAAATTATAAAAACATTTCAGTGTTTACAGGCTCTTTTATAAAGAACCCCCTAAAGTTAAATGATTTAATATATTTATCATTTCAAGATCCACTATTACACACATAAAATTTTAGTTCTGCTTTTTGGGACAGATAACATAGTTTGCCTTTATATACTTTAATTAGAATTTACCTTGGATACCTGATGCTGTGTTATACATTTCTTCTTCCAAGATTCCTGTTCCTCAATGTACTGAAAAATAAGCTTATGAACTAAAATGGAGGAAGGAGGGGCTTTATCCTCTGAGGAAGGAGAAAAAAAAATCAAAAGCAGGATATTAATTATTCAAATATTTTATATACATATATAAGCTAGAAGAAAAAAGAAAAGAAAAAAAACAAAAATATATAAGCTAGAAATATTATACAAACTAGAAATATCTTCAAACTACGAGGTGTCTAAGTATCCTCTCCATTTTATTTTCAAATACATAAATCAGAATATACGGTTCACAGAAAATATTCCTATAAAAACTCAAGTCTTTATCACATACAGAGTAAAACTTGATTAAGAGCATAGGCTTAAATGTAACATAAACCTGAGTTTAAATCCTGTCTCCTACTACCTGAATGATCCTAAGCACAACACTTATTTCTTTTGAGCTGCAGGTCCCTAATTTGTAAAATGGAGAATAATACCTACCTCATAGTGTTGATGTAAGTAATACACATGCCTAATACAGAATAAGTACTCCCAATGGTAATTTTTAGATTATGGAAATAGCTATTAATCATTGCTCAAGATCTAGTCATAATAATAAAAAATCATTTCTTTTAAAACATACCCAATATTTTGAACACTATTCTAGCAGTTTTATGTCTAATACACATTTCTAAGGACAAATTATTATTATTATTCATATTTAAGTTAGTATGTGACAGTTTGTAAGGAGCGATTTACACTTATAAATTTCCAACACATTTTTAGAGGCTTAAATGTTTTGAACTTACCATCTAACAGAGATTGAAAATTCAGGTCAACAATCCTCCTATAAGCCTTGTTCAGGAAAGGGAGACCAACTAGGAAGAACCAGAATAAGGACAATATTTCTTTTTATTATCTGATTTTAAGCTACATACAACTCAAGTATTTTAGAGTCCTCAAGTACTCTTTCTGGGTAGCAGGACTTTTTCATAGGCAGTTGAAGGTTTATACTTGAATCATTTTATTCTCTCTATATGGTAAAGGCTCTCCTGAGACTGCTGAACTATACTGATTGGCAGGCCTTTGAAAGAAATTTAAAGTATAATAGATTTATAGTATATTTACCAAGGCCTCCTCCTTTGACCCTTAACTGCTGTGCAAAGATATTATTTTTTTCAGGAATCATATAAAGAGGCTATGACCTCCCACACCTACTATCTTTGTAAAAATACAGTGAAAATAATTTATGTTTTTAGCATTACAGTAATGAGTTTTAGGTAGCCAGAATAGCTGCTTGCTTCTCCAGATTCTACAGTTATCTCCCATCTCTCAAATTCTGATTCTTTTTACTGTGGATACAATTGTGAGACAGACACGACACGATCAATCTATACTCACAAGAAGCTTACAGCTCAGGGGAACACACAGATAACTGCAATAATAAACACACCAAGCACTACAAACTGTAATAAACATCATTAAGGAAAACTGCAGGAAGCAAAGAGAACATATAACAGAAGGGCAAATAGCAGAGAGACTAGGTATAATGAGAGTCCAATAAAACTTTCCTGAGAAAGTAATAATTAAATTGAGCTCCTAAGGATTATTAGTAGAAATTTATTTAGTGAAGAGGGGGTGTTATGGTCTAAACATTTGTTTCCTCCAAATTTGTATGTTGAAATCCTAATGGCCCATGTGATGGTATAAGGAAGTGGGACCTTTGGGAGGTGCTTAGGTCATGAGGATACAGACCTCTTATAAAAGAGACCCCAGAGAGCTAGCTTGGCCTTTTGTCATGTGAGGAGACAATTAGAAACATGCAACCTGGAAGAGGGCCCTCACCTGACCATGCTGGCTTCCTGATCTCAGACTTCCAGCTTCCAGAGCTATGACAAACTTCTGTTGCTTATAAGCTATCCAGTTTATGGTATTTTTTGTTATAGCAGCCCAAATGGACTAAGATGGAGAAAGAGCTCCCAGGTATAAGAAACATCAGTATGTAGGTGCTGAGGTAGAATGGAATATGACTGAGAATGAAAAACCGTGACCTATTAAAGAAATAAAAGAAATTCACTGTGCCTGACATACAGAGAACAAGGTAAGATGAGGCAGGAAAAGGAGGAAAAAACCTTTACAGGCTATATTAAATATTTTGATCATTAGTCTAAGAGTAGTAGGTACATGGTCAGATTTCCAACAATGATTTTAGCTACAGGAAGGAGAATGAATTGGAGGAAAAAGATCCAGAAAGACCAACTGGAATGTTATTGTAGCCATCTAGGTTAGAGATGACTATGGACAGAAGAGGCGAAAAAAAGTGGACAAATATTACATTAAAATCAGTAAGTCTTACTGATGATTTAAATATGCCTGGTAAGGGAGAAAGATATAGAGTGATTCCTAAGTTTTCATTTTGAACCTGGATGGAAGTTAATGGTATTCAATGAGAAAAGGAACTTTTAAAGAGAATCATGTTTGGAGGCTTGAAGAGTGTAAAGATCCTAAATTCCAATTTGGCCATGTTTACCCACGGTTGACTAAGATGAAATTAATGGTTTCAAGGGAAAAGACCTAAAGATACTGACAGGCAAATCCAACAAAACAGCTAGTACTCTCTTCAGTCACCATATAGCGATCTCTACCTACTTTGATAAGCTCACCAATACACAAAGGATTTCCAATTAATGTTTAGATTACTGCAGTACAAAAATAGTCAAGAGTCACCAGCTATTAGAGTAAATTCTCTATCACAAAAGACATAGAAGAAAGGAACTCAGAGTAAACAGATTTGAATAGCATGTTGATCCAGTATTTGGATAGGCAAAATTTCTGTCTAATGTAATTCAACAAAGGGCAACTTTCACTAGCTGAATTTTTATTTTACTCTTTAATAAAATAAAAATAAAATTCTCACTAATTGAGGTGATCACCTCTTCTAAGATTTTCATCTGTGCTTTATGTCAATAGTTGTTATTGTATTAAAACAAAGATTTGAGTTTAGCCACATATTTTTATGCAGAGGAACTCTCTTACTTTTGCTACTCACCTATTGGCTCTCCAAAAGTGATGGTGAGTTCTATTGTATCATAAAGAAAGGTGAACACAGCTTGATCATCACTCCACTCAATGACATCCCATTCAGACAGGCTAGAGAGATAACAAGACAAAGAAATTTGTTTTTGAGATAAAGGAAGAGAGTTAACTTCAGATACCACCCAAACAGTACCAGCAGCAGCTGCTAGTTTTTCTACTGGAGTGGGAGACATTTTATTTATTTTAAATATGTTTTTGTTAATTTCAGAGAGGAAGGAAGAGAAATATCCTGATGCGAGAGAAAAACATTAATCGGCTGCCTCCTGCACGCCCCCAACTAGGGATTGAGCTGGTAACCAGCGCATGTACCCTGACTGGGAATCTGACCAGAAACATTATGGTGCATGGAATGATGGCCACGGTGGGAGACAACACTTTAATTCAAATATTGTGAATGTACAAACATGCTTTTGAAAGAAATAAGAATTCACTCAATCTTGATTTGTATATCAGGAAAAAAATGAGTCTAAGGTAATACAAAGTGTTAAATATTTTTAAATGATACTTCCATAGCTCTCTCTCACCTTGTATACTTTCAACTTAGTGTTGAGTACATTGATTCTTTTTGAGGCTACGTTGGTTAAAAACAGTGATACACGCTACCAACATGTCAACTGCTCTAGTAGGTTTAGACAACCACAAAGGCATAGGATAAAATGTAAACTAATGACCCCTGCTTTTCCTTACCTCAACTGATCCAGTAGCTCTTCAGTTGTATTTGTTTGTTTTTGAACAAAGTCTATTTGAGCAAGGGTCTGCTTTTTCTGTACCTCTAGTTCTAAGAGATTTCTGCAAACAGAAGTATTCACAGAAAGATAAGTCCATTGTTAGAGAATTCAGACTCTATTAAAATAAAAGGTTTATAACAAGAAGTCACATGCTAGATGGCTCCCCAATGAAGCGAATGGCATCCATTTCCGCATTCTCAAGTGGGTTTTTTTTTTGGAATGATCATTAATCTAGAAGCATAGGTCTAATTAGGAAAGGCCTAAATCAATGGCTCTCAAGTTAGAATCAGTAAAAATATCCCTGGGGGTTCTCATGTTCTTTGAGATTATTATTAAAATTCAGATTTTTTTTTTTCTAATCCTCACCCGAGGACATTTTTTCCATTGATATTTAGAGAGAGTGGAAGGGAGGGAGAAAGAGAGAAACATCGATGTGAGAGACACCCTCACTATGCCAGGGATCGAACTCGCAACCCTTTGGTACTCGGGCCGACACTCTAACTACCGAGCCACACTGGCCAGGGTGAGTTTAATATATTTCCAAACACTCAAATTGAAGGCTGACCTCTGAAGCTTTTCTTCTTCAGTTTTCAGCTGTTCCAGTTCTTTGAAAAGAAAAATAAAAACAAATCTATCAGAATAGACACGTTGGAATGTTGCTACAAAAGTCATCTATTTATTGAAAATTCTAGCTCAATTTTTTTTCTTTTTTTTTTCTAGCTCAATTAATATCACCTAAATAAACATACTCAGAACCATAGGGTTTTTCCCCCCATTTATCTCCTTGATTAATTCAGTTACCTTTTTCTGCAGTTCTCATTCCAGAACCCCATTCTTCCATATGATAATCCTTCTTTTCATCCTCCAAACTCTTAGTTTCTAAAGCAGACAATGTATATTAGAATAACCCAGTCAAAAGTAATTTAAAAACCGGACATGAAAAGAACAGATGGTCCTAAAATGAACTGTTAAGAATATGTGATAAACACTCATATTTTCCCCACTTTTCCCTGCCAATTAAGCACTCAGACATAATTATAATTTCACACAAAAACTTGCTTCTAGTAGCAGACAACTGAATTTTGAGCACTATAGTAATGATCTCCAATAGCACCTTTTCAAGGGCCATTCTTAGCTGGAAATTGTTTATATAAATTTTCATCACAGTTATTGTTAGGCAGGTGGACTAAAGCCTGAACAGATACTGCATGCATACACATTTAAAACATTTTACTTAATTTGTTTCTAAAACCTTGGAGTCACCCAGTAATAGTGTCAACAATAAAAAATAAATAAATAAAAAAACACAAAAAACCTTGGAGTCCTCCTTAAAATCCCATTCTCTCCCCACAACCCAAACCAAGTTTAGATTCTTACCTCAAAAATGTTTTTGAATCTTTCTTTTCTTCACCATCACCAGCCCCCCTTAATATAAGCTACTGTCCTTTCTTTTTAAAAATTTTTTAAAAAATTCATTGATTAGAGAGAGAAAAACATTTAATTGTTGTTCCACTTATTTATGCATTCATTGGTTGATTCTTGTATGTGCCCTGATTAGGGACCACATCTATAACCTGGGTGTACTAGGATGAAGCTCTAACCAACTGAGCTGCCTTGCCAGGGCCTACTATCCTTTCTTAACCATACCAGTCTAATAACTACTGAACTTCTTACATTTACAGCTCATCTATTCAAAACCCATCTCTATACTGCAACTAGTGCTTAACACCCTTCAAATGCCCCTTCACTACTCTTAAAAAAAGTGAAAACTCCTCAAGAGGTCCTTTTTGGCCTGGTCCTTAGTGACATCTACAGGTTTATCTCAGACAATGTTCCATTTTGCTCTCTCTAGTCTAGCCACATTGGCCGTATTTCAGACCCTTGTACTTGGTACATTCTTTCCCATAGAAGGGCTTCTGCATGTGTTATTCTATTGAATAGTCTGTTATCCCCTCCATTCTTACTTTAACTGCTCATTCTTCATATCTTAATTTAAATGTCACTTCCTCAGAAGGAAGCCTCTCCTGACTCAACTAAGTCAGAATTCTGTTTCAGGACCTTCCAGCACATGTAACCTCTCTTCCATAGCACTTATTATAACATTATTTGCTTAATTCTTAGATTCTCATCTAGACTAAAAACTCCATAGGGCACAAAGTTTTTGTTTTTAATTGCTACAGTATTCTTAGCACCAAGCACTATATATGACACTTACTAGGTATTCACTACATTTGCTCAAGGAATAATGAATGAACAAGAAAGAAATAGGATCCTGGCTGGAGTAGCTCAGTTAGTTGAGCGTTGCCCTGTGCACCAAAAGGTTGCCTGTTCGATTCCTGTTCAGGGCACATACCTGGGTTGTGGGTTCGAACCCAGTTGAGGCACATACAGAAGGCAACCTATCAATGTTTCTATCTCTCAAAAAAATAAAATTAATAATTTTATTTTATTTTTTTAAAAAGGAAGAAGTTCAGGCCTAATGGCTTCAATTTTTTTTCTGTGAAGAAAGTAAAAGAATCCAAGATGGTGGCAGATTAAGTGGAAGCTACACTGAAACCAGGACTACTCTATCCAGCAAAGCTATCATTCAAAATCGTAGATGGTGAAACAAAGAGCTTCTCAGACAAAAAAAGCCTAAAGAAGTTTATCAGCACCAAACCAGCACTGCAAGAAATGTTAAAGGGACTGCTATAATAAGTAGAAACACAGAGAGAGAGAAACATAGGCATAAATAATTAAAATGGAAATAGAGAAGTACCTATCAATAATAACCTTCAATATAAATGGATTAAATGATCCAATCAAAAGACAGGGTAGCTGAATGGATAAGAAAACATGACCCAAATATATGCTGTCTACAGGAGAACCACCTCAGAACAAAAGACTCACATAGGCTGAGAGTGAAGGGATAGAAAACTTTTTCCATACAAAGGGAAATGAAAGAAAAAAAAAAGCTGGGGGAGCAATACTCATATCTGATGAAATAGACTTTAAAATGAAGGCCATAACAAGAAAGGTCACTACATAATACTAAAGAGGATATAACCCTGGTAAACATATATGCACCCAATATAGAAGCACCAAAATATATAAAAAAACTTCTGGAGGACTTTAGGGGACTTTAACACCCCACTGACTTCACTGGATTGATCTTCCAGACAAAAAAATCTAACAAGGAAACTGACTCTAAATGACACACTATTTCAGATAGATTTAATTGGTATTTACAGAACATTTCACCCCAAAGCTGTAGAATATACATTCTTCTCAAGTGCACATGGGACATTCTCAAAGACAGATCATATGTTAGGACACAAAACAAGTGTCTACAAGCTCAAGAAGACTGAAATTAAATGAAGCATCTCCTCGGATACACTGCTCGTGGGAATGGAGACTGATGCTGCCACTATGGAAAACAGTATGGAGTGTCCTTAAAAAATCAAATTTGGAACTGCCATTTGACCCAGTGATCCCACTTCTAGGAATATATCCTAAGAAACCCAAAACACAAATTAGAAAGAATTTATGCACCCCTATGTTCATAGCAGTGCAATTTACAATAGCTAAGATCTGGAAACAGCCCAAGTGCCTATCAGTAGATGAGTGGATTAAAAAGCCGTGGTATATTTACACCATGGAATACTATGCAGCTGTAAAAAAGAATGATCTCTTATCCTTTGAGGCAGCATGGAGGGACTTTGAGAGTATTATGCTAAGTGAAATAAGCCAGTCAGAGAAAAACAAGTATCACATGATCTCACTCATATGTGGCATCTAATGAACAAAATAAACCAATGAACAAAATAGATCCAGAGACATAGAAGCATGGAACAGACTGATGAATCTCAGTGGTAAGGCAGGGGTGGGTGGTGGATGGGGAGAGATTAACCTAAGAACTTATATACATGTATGTATAACCCATGAGCACAAACAATAATGTGGTAAAGGCAGGGTGGAGGGGATCAATGGGGGGAAAAAGGGGACATCTGTAATACTTTCAACAATGATAACTTCAAAAAAAAAAGAAAGTAAGGTAATGAACAAAGGGGTAGGGTAGTCTAAGACTATAAAATTCATATATTTATCAATTCAATTCTGTGGAAAGCATAGTTCTAAGAATTTTGAAGCATGTGGAGAAAAATAAAAGCTGATCGTTGCTCCCACGAAATTCACAATTTATTTAGAAAGATAAATTATACAAAAGTAACTATGATTTGGTTGGAATTTAAAATGTGTAAGGGAGTAATTCTGTAAATCACATAAGAAAAATCTAAAAATGATTTTAGAAAATGTATGTGAAGCTTAGGAGCTTGGACTTTATTTCATAATAAATGCAAAGAGAAAAGTCTTTCAAGGGTATAATATAATGAAAACTGTCCTTCATAACTATTATTATTATTTTTTAATTTAATTTTTAAAAATTTTATCTTTATTGTTGAAAGTTCTCCTTCATAATTATTAATCTGGCAGCAATATGCAGGTTGGACTGGAAGGAGATAGAAGGAAGAGTATAAACAAATTCAAGTTAGCCTGGCCAGCGTGGCTGTTGTTGAGTGATAACCTATGAACCAGGAGGTCATGGTTCGATTCCCAGTCAGGGCAAATGCCCAAGTTGGGGGCTTGATCCACAGTAAGGGGGCCCACAGGAGGCAGCCGATCAATGACTCTCTCTCATCATTGATGTGTCTATCTTTCTCTCCCTCTCCCTTTCTCTAAAATCAATAAAAACATATTAAAATTTTTTTCAAGTTGGAAGACGTCAAATAGCATATTTCAAAGAATTAAATGATAGCCTTGATGGGAATAGGAAAGAATAAAAGAAATGCTGTAGAAGCAAATAAGAACAGAACTTTATAAGAGAGACCAAAGACAAAAGTTTTGAGCTTTTTACAATATATCAGAATGGTGATGCCATCAACAGAGATAAGAAACATTAAAGGGAAAACAAGTTTTCAGATTTTATTTTGGAAATGGGAAAAGACAATAAATTCTGTTTATTCACACAGAGCTTAAGATGCTTAAGGGCACATTTGCCGAGAGGTTCAGCAAGATGCTAGAAAAGTTATGTCTGGAATTCAAGATACATAGGCTAAAAATGCCTTCACCCAAAATGATTAGAAGCTACTATAGGCAAAATCTGTGTCTTACATGTATTTTTTCTGATGCAAAGCACAGCATGCAGAAGGTGCTCAACAAACGCTTGATTGATTTAACTGAACTTGGGAATCATTCATATAAACAGAATTGTTAAGGCAGATGAAAGCATTAGGGGAGGCATACAGAAATGAGTAGATGATAAAAATCTAAATCCCTACACAAGGGGTCAGTTAGGGAGAGGCTAACAGAGGAGCTAAAAGAAACAACCAGGAGAAAAGAATAGGGTCAGGGTAGTACAGTATCACAGAGTCAGGGAGATGCATGTTTCAGGAAGAAAATAATCATCACATTTTCAAATGCTTAAAGTGGTCAAGATAGCTAAGGACTGAGAGTTACCAAATTTGATGATTATGTGGAATTTAGTAATCTTTGAGAAAGCAGTCTCAGGGCAATACTAAACAAGTTGGGGTTATGAGAGGTCAAACGGAAAGGCTCATTTTTATTTATTTAAAACATTTTTTTATTATTTTTAGAGAGAGGAAGCCAGTGGGAAACACACTGATGTGTGAGAGCAAAACATCAATTGGCTACCTCAGTGGGGATTGAGCCCAAAACTCGGGCATATGCCCCGACCAGGAATCAACCGACAATCCTCTGGTGCATGGGACAACGCCCAACCAACGGAGCCACATCAGCCAGGGCAAAAGTCTCATTTTTAAATAGAGATAAGTTCATCTATTAAAAAAACAGATTATGGCCCGGCTGGACGTGGCTCAGTGGCTGAGCATAGAACTAGGATCCAGGAGATCACGGTTCGATTCCCAGTCAGGGCACATGCAGGGTTGCAGGCTTGATCCGCAGTTGGGGACATGCAGGAGGCATCTGATCAATGACTCTCTCACCAATGACGTTTCAACTCTCTCTCCCTCTCCCTTCCTCTCTCTGAAATCAATAAAGATATATTTAAAAAACAAAACAAAACAGATTATCGTCTAGTTTATGGAGAGTTTTCCAAAGAGCTCTTAGGCATCTCTTGTTGATAGTGTGGAAAACCACAGAGTAAAGGAGCTTTAAATTGATCTAATTTAATGTTTCAAGCTACTAATATAAGGCTTTAGTATTGTGTGACCAGTAATCTGTATGAAACGAAGCATTTAGATAAAATTAAATTTTCTTTTGAAAATATATTCAAGATACTTTACCTATTTTCAACTCAGTGAGACAGTTAGCAATCTTCTTAAGTAGGTTGTCCATCTCATCTATTCTTATCTGAAGTTTCTCCCTCTCATTCTAAACACACAATATTATAGACTGTCAAGTTAAAGTTTCAAACAAAACATTACAACATTATCATGTTTCAAATAGCTGGCATAACTGCTATGTCCAAACCATAAACGGGCAGATCTTAAAATGAAGGTCAAAATTGCCAGTCTAGACTTAAATTTCACTTGAAAAAAAGAATTCATTAAAAATGTCCTATGGTCAAATGAATATGGGAAACAATGGTCCAATAGAATTAAAGCATTTTTTTTTCATTTTAGACCTTTTAAAAAAGACTGTAGACATTAGTATCCTAACTATTATATTTCTCTGAAAGGGTAATATTGCATGTAAAATTTCCCAGACTTATTTGCTAATACAAAGTTTTAAAATACAAAACCTTTCTAAAAGGACAATCACTTTAGGAAATGCTACTTTAAACACACACAAATGTACAGAGCTAGGTATGAACTATGTGAAAGATAATACTATAGTCCTTAGCAATGAAAGATCAGAATCCTATATTGTTTTATTTCAATATGGATAATGGATAAAAAAATTGAGATAAGGAATGGGCCCATATTATTAGTAAAATTACCATAAAGTAATTTTAATAGACCTTTCTTTCTATGCTATTAACTGTGTCAAATTACCTGCGCTGATTGCACCAGCTTGCTGTAGAGAGCCACTTTTCCTTGGTGAGTGAAGACTTTAGTCATCTTGGTAAAATGTGATTTAATTTTATTCAGGTAAATTCCAAAGGTCTTCAGCTGTAAGGAAAAGTCAAAGGCTACAATGCACTAAAACAAATGAGTTGAAAAGTCAAATGATCTGAGAATACTGGTTCAGATAATAAGTGCTAAGCTTTGCCCGTTCTAGGCTCTAATTTTTAAGGTAGGGCACTTCTCATTCACAAATTTAATTCCACTTAATAGTTTAAAAGCACAACCAAAGATTTTAATTTTGATTCCTGCTTTTAATTCACTTACTCATATTACAAATTAAACAATGACAGGCTCTTACTTAATAAAACTCATATAGTGCACATATGAAATGAGTTACTTATTTAATCAATTAAATCTTTTCCTCATCTAAATCTAAGTGAAAGGCAAACAAGAAGAGAACTCTAAATAAACTTCAACTATATTTCACAGTTTCAATATTCATAAGTTTCAATATTAAATTGGTAATTTCAGGTTTGAAAAAATTATATATTAATAATTACTCATGTATAAAGAAATAAAACCTTGGTAACATATGAAAAAATTATATATTAATAATTACTCATGTATAAAGAAATAAAACCTTGGTAACATATGACACCTGATAAGTAAGTTAAAGAACTCATCACTAATTACCAAGTAATAGCTACCTATTTCATAATAAGAATTGTTCAAAATGTCTATACTGATTCCCATTCAGAAAATGACACAAAAGTAAGTACCTCCTCATCAGAGCAGTGTCTCATTTTTTCCCATAGGTTTCTGTTTACATCAGTTAACAGTTTATCTTGGTTCAACGCAGAAAGCTTTAATCTAAAATATAGAAAAGTTAATTAGTATAGGGTTCAGAAATCAGCTTCAATGAATTAATTCAGATCTACAGTCCTAGTTAATTTAATTCTCCTAGTTCTTTTTCTACATGAAAAGAGGGGAATTCACTCAAGAACAGTGCAGCCTTATTATTTTTCAACACTTATAGAACAGTTCAAGAATGTTATGAATCAAAAAGACTTCTCACAAACAGAACTCTCATCTTAATGTTATCAGCTTGTTCCAACCAGAAAACATGATGCTAATAAAGAATCTTTAAGGCCTGTCAATGCATAATTGTGAAGTTGTAACTTTTTGGGTTCTTTGTTTGTTTGTTTTTAAATATATCTTTATTGATTTCAGAGAGAGGAAAGGAGAGGGGGAGAGAGAGATAGAAACATCAATGATGAGTGATTCATTGATTGGCTGCCTCCTGCACGCCCCTGACTGGGGATGGAGCCCACAACCCATACATGTGCCCTGACTGGGAATCCGAACCCCGATCGCCTGGATCCTAGGTTGATGCTCAACCACTGAGCCATGCCCGACCGGGCTGTTTTGTTTTGTTAATCCTCATCTAAGCTTTTCAGAGAGAGGGGGAAGAATGGGGGGGAGAGAGGGAGAGAGAGACAGAGAAACATTGATGCAAGAGAGACATGTCAACTGGCTGCCTCCCACACAAGCTCCAACAGGGGGAATGGAGCAAACCGGCAACCCAGATACATGTCCTTGACTGGGAATCTAACCCAAGACCTTTCGGTGCACAGGCTGAAGCTCTACCACCGAGTCACATCAGCCAAGGCTGTAACTATTATTTTATATTATTATTATTATTATTGTTTTTTAATCCTCACCTGAGGATACTTTTTCCATTGCTTTTCAGAGAGAGTGGAAAGGAGAGAGAGGTAGAAACATCAATGTGAGAGAGATACATCTATTGGTTGCCTCCCTCACCTGCCCCAACCAGGGCCAGGGACAAGCCTGCAACTGAGATATGTGCCCTTGGCCAGAATCGAACCCAAGACCCTTCAGTCCACACGCCGACGCTCTAACCACTGAGCAACCGGCTAGGGCTGTAACTATTATTTTAAATAAAAGTTCCCAATTCAGTTCAAAGTCCTATTTCACCTTTACAGAAAAGCATTTATAAAAGTAGCAAAGATATATATTAGCCTCTTGTTAATAAGCAAAGAGCCCTAGCTGGTTTGGCTCAGTGGTTAGAGTGTTGGCCCGGGGACTGAAGGGTCGTTCGTGGGTTTGATTCCGATCAAGGGCAAGTAGCTCAGTTGCAGACTCAATCCCTGGCCCTGACCAGGGGCATGGGCAGGAGGCAACCAATCAATATGAGAGAGACACATTGTCTCTCTCACATTGATGTTTCTCTCTCTCTTTCTCCCTCCCTCCCTTCCACTCTCTCTAAAAAAAAAATCAATGGAAAAAATATCCTCAGGTGAGGATTAACAACAACAAAAATAAGCAGAAGATATAAACTTCTACCAGAGAGTTCAAAGATATTATATAAGGGCATAGAAGTGCAAAATCAAATAGAAGAGCACATCTAAACACACTACCCATTGTTAATCATTCAAAATAAAATATTCTCAAACAAATCACTTAAACAACTTGAATAAACTTATCTGTCTTGTTCAGTGAAGAACCTCAGTACTTAAAGCAGTAGCTAGCACATAGTATGTGCTCAAATATGTATTTGTTGAATAAATAAGCCAGAATCAGGCAAATCTGCAGTATGATAATTTAACAGCATCTTAAGTCTCTATTTTTAAAACCATGTACTTTTTTGTTTGTTAGATTGGTTCAAATTTAATTGAATAGTTCTAGATAAGTATGATATAAACATTATTTTGGGTTATAAGTCCTGATCTACCTGTGGGAATCTAGGTATGCTATGCCAAATTTGTAAATTAGTCTGCAGCATCTATATATACCAAAGCCCTAAGCTACAGGTTGAGCAAAACCATGTTCTTTTATACATGCAAATCAAGGGCAAATGTGATAAAATTATAAACCCTAAGGCATTCCTGTTTTTAGGCACTATATATAAATCTATAAAGGGACATCTCTCTCTTGAAGATGTTCCTTTGCAATCAATTTATGATATCATAATCTAATAATTATTGTTAACTGGGGACACACTTTTTGCTAAAAATGGCATAAAAACTTTTTATATACACTATTTTCTACTGCTCATATTTACGATAATAATACCTATTATTATGTATTATTATTATCCCCAATTTATGGATGTGCAAATAAAGGTTAAATGATTTACATAATGCTAAATAGTTAGCATCGTAGCCATGATTGAGCTTCAGTCTTAAAGCCAAAACTCTTTCTAAAAACATACTGTACCACACCACCAATTAATGCCATCAAGTTTTTTCTAAGCTAGTGTTATTCCAATCAAAATCTTACCACACAGATTGTTCACCCATCCAACAAACACAAAAAAATGAAAACTTTCATACTCTTCAATCTTTTGGCGAAGAGCCTCACAATCTTCTCTATATATCTGTATCTTGGGTCGGTAAACATATTGACTTAACATCAGATCTTCTGGAGTAGGTTGTGTGTTTATAGTAAACTGAAAAAAAAAAAAAAATCAGTCCCTCAAAACCAGTATTTTGAGAACAAACCACACTTAACAACTGTTTCAGAAGTACCTATTTTTAAAAGTTCTACAGAGAAAAATTTGAATACTCTATGAAAATTCTTACACTCAGTAAAGCTGTAAGTTGGAATTCGAATTCAAGTCTCTGACCTCAAAGTCCATTTTTCACAGATGTTTAGGGAAACTATAGAAGTTCCATTCACATGGGATTGTGATTTTAAAATGTCTTTGTGTGCCTGGTTGGCATGGCTGAGCGATTGAGCATCGACCTAGACATCTGTAATACTTTCGACAATGAAATAAATTTTAAAAACAATAAATAAAACAAAATAAAATGTCTATGCATTATTTGTCAATTAAAGCTCAAAAAAGGTGGAAAAAATAAAAATGGCTATACATTAAGTAAATCAATACCTAAAAATTCATTAGCTTTACCATTTATCTGCACTTATTATCTTCCTGCCTTTTTATGGGTATTATTTTATTGTTCTAATTTCTTAAAGTGAGTATTAATAATTCCTTTATTTTTAGATTCTCTTCTATAACAATGATATGTGAGGCTTTTAATTTCCTGTTAAGCATAACTTTTGCTGTATGTCCCATAGATTTGGTATTAAATGTCCTCCTCTGCTTTCCAAATAGTTTTGGTTTCCTCTTTGATATACGATTTAGAAATGTGTTTCTTAATTTCTAAGAACCTAAAGAATGTTTAATCCTTTTATTAGTTCTAATTTTATTGGATTAAGGTCAGATGATGTGGTCCATAAAATCTCCATTTTTTTTCAGTTTGCTAATGTTTTCTTTGTCACCAAGGGCATAACTAATTTTTATAAATGTTCGACAGGCTTAAGAGAAAAAAAATTCCTATGAAAGTGTCATAAATTTTTCTATTAATCTTTTACATTAAGTTTGTTGATTGTATTATTCAAATATTCTATGATTTTACATATTTATTTTGAAAAAGGTTTATTAAAACCTGATATTCTTAGATTTTTTTAACGGTGGGAAAGAGCATATGTTCAGGAAAAAGTATCAAAAACAAAATAGATGACAAGGAATAAAAAAAATAAAATTTCACCCTATGAAAATCCATGATATAAAAAAATACTGATCTTTATGCTAACCACAAATGTACCTATTAAAGGAAAATTTGCTTCTTTAGATTCTTTTTTTGTTTCTGAATGAATGCTTACTTTGATGCAGTTTAGTAAATAAGTACAATATATTCTAATGGAGGCAGCTATTTGCCAAGAAATTGCACTCACTTTGGCTGGGAGAGTGCTCTGTCGGGGTTTCTGTATCAAAATGTGGACTTGAAGAAGTATAAAGAACTCCTTTACTGTTATTCTCCCATCTTTGAGTTTCTGAGGAAAGAAAAAAAAGCTTGTATGATGATCAAGGTGAGCTCATTTTGATTATAACCATCTCATTTATTTCAAAATAGCTTAAAGTACTTTTCACATGTTTGTGGAAATACTATTTAGATATTTGTAGGCTGTACATGAAAAGATTTTATCTAAAATTTATTTCTTAAGGTTACTCAGTAACAGTAGAATTGAGGAACAATAAAACTTAGGTCTTCTGATCATTATTTGTACTCCATATAATTAATTAACTGCTATGTTGAGTCCTTAACAGAGAAAAGAAAATTTGTCTTCTGTATATTTAAAACATTTCATAAATTTTTTAAAATTAAAAAAAGAGAAAACAAAACTAGGAAATTAGTTACATTACAAATGATAAGTACTTTAACATACCTCCTTTAAGCTCTCTTCACAAACAGTGTCTGTGAGTAACTGAGATTCCATCTGACTATTGCGGTATGCTAGAAGTAAGGCAAATTTGGATGATGAACAAGTCAAAATTAAATTGTAAACTTAATTTTAGCTATCATTCAGGTTTATGTGTGGTTCATGCTCCTGAAGCTATCCATTAGGATCTTGTTGGAAAGAGTCATTTGTAGGACAAAGTATATTACAGTGTTAGGGCTCCATTCAATGTCTCTCTACTGAGTATAAGCCTCTTAAGGAAATCACTCTAACCTGTTTAGTATTTCACTTCTCCATTTATTAAAATAATTAAGAATTAAATATAAAGTAAATATTATTTTATTTACCAACTACATATACCCCCCCAAAAGTTTACACAAATTTCAAACATCTTCTGAACTGAAATACATTTATTATTAGTCAAGTAAGTAGACAACTTCTATTAACCAGCTTTCATGAACATCATCTTACTGCTAAAGTCCAGAGAGGTCCCATCAGCCTTGATCGAATCCAGAGAACTGCTGCAACTAGATGGGGTCCTGCCCAGGCTTTTCATCAATACACTGTTAGCATTTTTATCTATATCCCCTTCAGCATGATGATCAAAAATCTGAAATTATCAATTAAGGAACATTGTCAGGATAAAGTTATAACACTGAATATTTATAATGACTACATGTTTGTTGAACACTAACAGAAATACTTCTAACATAAAATTTATGTATAACTCTTATGAGATCCCTTAGCAAAGAATTAGAATAAGTAACAGGCAACTGAAGCCTTTAGAGTTAAAAGTAACTTTATTTTAAAATACATAGAAATAACTTTTTGCATTACACTGTAAAAGCTAATTATTTCACAGATATATCTAAGTTATAGCCAGATCCTATGACCTATAATGTTGACCTACTCAATTATTCAACTACTAGCCACCAGGGTCAGGGCTACCACACTGCAGAAAACAAGAACAGAATATTGGTGGTCCTGGCTAGAATACAGAAAAGAAACTTATTTCCACGGTTTAGTGCTTTCTTCACTTGGTGACCAAGACTCCCTTAATTGAAGTCAAATACATTTTAAGTCACGTGATGTTGTTTTTATCATTTTAACCATTTGACTTTACAGACTTAAATATTTGTAATTTTCATCTACCTACTTACATATCTTTTTGAGGACATTATATTTTTGTCTAAATGCTAGGATATAAGTTCCATGAGAGCAGATTTCTATCTGTAAGTTCCCACTGAGGCATTCCTAGCAACCTAAACCATACCTAGGACATGGCAGATACACAGTAAATATTTATGGAAAAAAGTAATACTAATTTTCATAGAACCTATTCAGTTATACATTTTATATTACTGTTACTACTTTTTCAAAGCTTCAGAGACAAACCATTTCCTCAACACCGCATCTTACAGAACCACTGAAATCATCTTCTAAGCTTACATATTTTTTAAGAGTTTAAACTTTGTTTTCTATGAACCTCTTATACTTTTAATCTTCATTTCTCCACCTATAAAACTCAGTTTGAGTAACAGGTTTTATTCTCCTGAATTATCCAGTGTTCCTCAATTTTAATATTTATATCCTCTTTCATGGATACCATGACAAATCACCAGAGGTGACAGAATATTTAGAATTACATAATTTCAACATTAACTTTTGTACTACTTTCCACTTCATTTTTTGTGACCATTTATCACTTCAAATTGTTTTTAAGTCTAGGTGCTAGTCAGTTAATTTCTTAAGATGCTACAAAGAAATATTTCGTCAGCTCTATATCTGAAAATAATCAATTCCTGCTTATCCAAGACTAAATTAAAATTCAAGAATACTCATTTTTAAAAAATCAAGAACATTCCTTACTTCAAGGCAGAGCTCACCTGCTGATCTTGTGCAGTATCACTAAACTTAATCTCGCTTTTTCTGATTTTTTTCTCATTCTGAGTATCATCATCTTCTTCTTGTACCCAGGTTCTTTTTTGGCTATTGCAGATTTCTTTCATTTTATTTTCAGATGGTGAAATCTCTTTCTGGTATGTCTCAATCAAAGCCTTCTCCTCAGTTTCTATGCTAATTGAGTCTGAGGAATTAATCTCACCAGGATATATAGGAAGATCTTCCTCATTTATATATTGAGATGGACTTAAGTTCAGTTTAGCTCCAATAAATCCAATGCCTGAATCCTTACTGGAGACCGGCTGAGTTTCTAAGTGATTTAAATCAGTTGTATCTGATGGAATTTGCTCCAGGTCATCAATACCAGTGACACTACAATTTCTCTTTGGCAATCTGGGTAAAAATATTCCCAAAGAACATCTTCTCACTTTATCATTTACAACTGTCATTAATGGTACAGAGTTGGTTTCAGCTCGATTATGAAAAAATGTATTTTCTTCATCCCTATCATCTTTAACACTGTTGGACACTGTGTTATTATTTATTTCTGTGGCTTGCACTACACTCATATCACTGTCTGCCTTATTTACTAATTCAAGTAATTGTTCTGGAAAAGGTGGTATATGAGCAGTTAGGAAATCTGAAAATTCTTCAGTTTTCCCATTCAAATTATTCAGATTTGGTTTGCCACTACTAAAACTTGAAGCATTAGATGCAATTACAGGATCTGATGCTTCTTTAGGATTGGCATGAGTTTGAATAACTTGCTTAGCCAACTCTGAGTTACTGTGGAAATCTATGGCTATATTACATTTAGCTGTTTGGATATTTTTCTTCAGTTCTTTTTCACAGGCTACAGTAAATTTTTTCTCATTATTAAGCATCTTAGACTCGTTTTCATATGTGGGTACAGAGGAATTTCTTATAACAGTATTTAAATTCTTATTTCCAGCTTTAGACAATATTGCTTCATCTTTATTAACAATACTCTGTCCTTGTTGAGATAATGGAGGTAGGTGGGTTGAGAAATGAGGCTGAGAACCAATATAAACATCATCAACAAAGGTCTGCTTTAAACTATGTTCTGCATTATGAACAAAGTCCTCCATATGATCCTCTGGAAGAGTAAAAGATACTTCCTTTGAATCAAGTTTAGTTATGTTCCCCAAATCCTGACCATGTATTAAAGTTTGATTAGCTAATAGACTTTGGGGCTCCTTAATCAGATCTTGATCTTTGAGCACTGTTATGACATAGTCATCTAAATGTCCTTTGGTATTGGTCTGAGTAACTTTCTCCTTCTCTAACAAAGAACAAGGAGTAGTGAGAAGCAATCCCTCAGATTTCAAACAATACTCACTGGCTAAATCATTTGCATAAGCAAGATCATTCTGCACTGGGCAATTACTGGCTTTCTCATTTTTATCACATAAGGACATGACATTCCCCTCCAAATTATCAAAAGAGGATATAGCATTTGGTAAACAGGAATAATTATTGCTTGATCCACAAATAGCAGGTGCATGACTGTTTGTAAAATCTACATTTCTTCTCTCTGTGCTATTTAAGTGGCAGCTTTCAAGTTTGGCTTTTTCCAATGTATAGGCCTGGTCTACAACTTTTGCCATGACCTTTTCATCCACAGCAGTGTTATGGAATTTGATGATTCCTATCTCACCTTGATCCCCAGACAATGTATTAGAATAGGGTATCACATGATGCTTTTGCTCAGTATGAAGAACAATTTTGTTTTCTACAGCCTGTGCTTGTTTTTTAGTGATTTCTTGAACAGAGCTACCATCCTTAGGAAAAGAAACACCCAAGGTTTTTCTTTTTGCTGTTCCAAATTTAGGGCACTCTTGAAGTATTTTTTCTGTGGCTTGACATTCAGTGACAGCAGTATGGGACTTGGTGACTTCCTGATCACTGTGATTATGTATAAACATTACAGTATTGTCCATAAGCCCAGTGGTTATTTTAACTGGTGAGACAGCTTTACATTCTAAGGCAGTTGTGTGACTTCTAGTGATCTCCATGTCATCCTGCCCACCTGTATACAAAACAGTTTTAGAAGTTCCTGCCAAAGACATCAAACAGGTGTCTTCTCTATCTTCCAGGGCACTTTTGTTATTCATTTCCACTGTACAACTCTGGATAGTATCATTTTTATCATTACTTGAAAATGCAATGGGCTTGCCATTTTTGAGTCTAAGGCTTTTCCTTCTTTGACTTTTGCCTGACAGAGGTTCATTCAGAAATGCAGGCTTTTGTATATCTTTGTCGCTTTTCCAAATGGTTGATGTAGACACTTCCATGTTCTCATCAGCTATAAATGCTACAGCTTTCTCCTTAGGACCACTATTAGACTGTTCCCCAAGTACTATTAGCTGGCTGACTTTTGCTGCTGAATGGTAACTTTCACCATTCTCTGGAAAGAAAACACTCTCCTCAGCAGAAGTCACTTTTGGTTTTCCTAGGCTTTTCCTTTTGGATAGTTCAAAGTCAGGTCTGTCTGGAAGCATAGTTCTTTCCTTTGCTTGGTAGTCAATGAAAACAGTGTGAGACTTTGTCATTTCCAGTTCATCATGATTATCTATAAACATTACAGTTTTGTCCACAGGCCTGGTAATTATTTCATCTGGTGACACAGTTTCACATTCTATGGCAGTTGTGTGACTTCTAGTGACCTCCATGTCATCCTGCCCACATGTATACAAAACAGTTTTAGAAGTTCCTGCCAAAGACATCAAACAGGTGTCTTCTCTATCTTCCAGGGCACTTTTGTTATTCATTTCCACTGTACAACTCTGGATAGTATCATTTTTATCATTACTTGAAAATGCAATGGGCTTGCCATTTTTGAGTCTAAGGCTTTTCCTTCTTTGACTTTTGCCTGACAGAGGCTCATTCAGAAATGCAGGCTTTTGTATATCTTTGTCGCTTTTCCAAATGGTTGATGCAGACACTTCCATGTTCTCATCAGCTATAAATGCTACAGCTTTCTCCTTAGGACCACTATTAGACTGTTCCTCAAGTACTGTTAGCCGGCTGACTTTTGCTGCTGAATGGTCATTTTCACCATTCTCTGGAAAGAAAACATTCTTCTCAGCAGAAGTCACTTTTGGTTTTCCTAGGCTTTTCCTTTTAGATAGTTCAAAGTCAGGTCTGTCTAGAAGCACAGTTCTTTCCTTTGCTTGGTAGTCAATGAAAACAGTGTGAGACTTTGTCATTTCTAGTTCATCATGATTATCTATAAATATTACAGTTTTGTCCACAGGCCTGGTAATTATTTCATCTGGTGACACAGTTTCACATTCTATGGCAGTTGTGTGACTTTTAGTGACCTCCATGTCATCCTGCCCACATGTATACAAAACAGTTTTAGAAGTTCCTGCCAAAGGCACCAAATGGGAATCATGTTCATCTAATAAAGGTTTATGATTTATTTCCAATGTATAACCTTTGGTGATATCCATATCATTCTCATTACCCTCTGAAAATATAACAGTCTTATCAATTTTTAGTCCATCAATACTCTTCCTTCCACAAATTTTGACATCTTGCTTTTCATTCAGGAATCCAGGTTTCTGTATACTTCTGTCCTCCAATACATCCATACCATTAAAAATAAACACTCCAGTTTTTTCTATAGGAGTTTTATTACATTTTTCAACTTTAACAGCTACCTGTCTGTTTATTAGTTGGCTGTTAGTATGTTCTAAATTAGTCTTACCAAGTTCTTGTACTTCAGAAGGACCACATCCAATGACAACAGTGTGACTCTTGGTAAGATCCATATTTTGTTCCTCTTCTGAACAAATAATTGTCTTGTCACGAGAACAGTCAAAGGTGGGATTGCCTAAACTTTCCCTCAGTGACTCAGGCAGTTTAGAATTCTGGCTTGGTATAGATTTTACTATATGACTGTTAACAGCAATATTATGATTTTCCATGGCAGATTGTCCTTCTGATGAAAATAGTCGCGTGGTAGGAAACAAAGATTGCTCACATGAAACTGTATTTCTATTCTTTCCCAGTGCTACTTGTTTATTAAGATCTCCACCAGAGTATACTATATTATAGCTTGTTGCTTTGTCCTGGTTTACATCAACTGACTGATAAGAAACTTTATCAAGATAGGGTGAAATCTTCAAAACTTGATTTATTTCTTTGCCCCAGGTGTCAGTTAGGATGTTTTTAGATTTAATTTTTGGTTGTTGGGATAGTTCATTATGACTTTTGGTCATTTTTTCCCATTCATTTAAAAGGCTCTTGCTGTCACAGTGAGATTTACTGGCATCCTCAGATGCTAGATTATAAGATGCAAGAGGAGCTTGACTTCCTAAGTTAGTTGTGTGACTTTTAGTCAAATCATTTTCTTCACCTGTGAAGATTACAGTCTTTTTGCCAGTCAATGAAATAGACAATGGATTTGCCTGATCCTGCTGTAATCCTTCCTTAGATACATAAGGAACTGAGCTACAATTCACATTCATTTCCTCATCCTTTGATACAGTTAAGTGATTTTGGAACATCACTTCTTTTTCAAATATTGGTATGGCTGTTATCTGTACATTTGTCTGATCTTCTTTAAAATTTTGATTATCTATTGCAACTGTGTGACTCTTAGTAAAGTCCATGCTATCCTCTCCTGAATAAATAGTTTTCCCTATGAGAAGAGAGTTGGCATCTGAATTATGATACATTTTGGCATAATTACAGTCATGCTCCAGCAAATTTTTTTCCTCTTTCATACTTGAGAGACATTTGGTCAGTTCCATGGCATCATTACAACTAGAGTACAAAAACGTCTTATAACCTTGAATTTCTGGACTGGAACATATAGGTTCTGGGATCATGGCCAATGTTCTAACATCTTGGTTAGAAGTCTGTGTGACTGTGTGAGTTTCTGTCCCAGTAATATGACCTCTGGTAATATGTATTTCACCTTTAGGATTTAAGGAATGGTCAGGAAAAGCAGCATTTGGTTTATTCTCAAAGACTGTCTTCTTTCCTGGAGTTTTAGTTCTACAACCTGTTGTAACATCGATCATCACAGTCTGAGTTTGATTTTCTATTTCAGATAAATTATCGGCTGAGGGTAAAATTTGTATAGTGCGGTTTATTGTCAAGTCCATCAAGTCATTGCCATAAACTGTAATATCATCACTTTTAAATTCCCTTAAGTTGGCCTCACTGGATGTGGGAACCAAACTCTGAATATTGGCTGTATGACACTGGGTGAAATTCATCCCATCATCTTGTTCTCTAAAGATTTTAGTCACATTACTGCTATTTTCATCTACATTAAGGGATGCATGCATTTGATGTATGGAAGAGGCCCTATTTGATTCTTTGGAATGAATAGATATCTCAGAATTTTCTTTATCAGGTCCTGTAGAAGAAGCATTAGATTTCCCTGTTTTTAATCTTTTTATGAAGTCACTGAAATTTATTTTCTTTTCTGAATTAGTATTTTGATCCATGGAAAAATTTAATTCTTTTTTCATTCTTGAATCCTCAGAGTGAAGCTTTAAGTTAGCCAGAAACAAAGTGGTATCTATCTTGGTGGACTTCTCACTTTTTGTAGAATCTAAAAGGCCTTTGGTAATCATCACGGTGTGACTTGCTGTCAAGTCCATCTGGTTTTCATCTGAAAAGATGACTGTCTGGTCATGTGAATGTTTCTTTTCATGGTCATGTTCTATAACTGAAATCTATAATGAAAGCAAAATATTTAAAAAATCAAATAAAATGAAAACTTTAAAAAAGATATTTTACAACATGTACTATATAAATAATCGTCAATGATGGTTTCATGATACGTTAGTTTGAATCAATGGTGTGGTGGGTAGTATGTAATTTGCTACTAAAAAATTTTTCTATAGTCTTTGAATACTTCTAGTGCTTTTGGACAAATTATAAGTTCAAGGTTATTTATACATCCATTAGAATGACTGACAATATCAAATGCAAATATAATGGAAATTCTAATTACTGTATTAGATAGGTCATTCTCATTTTAAATAAAAAAGACTCAGAAAGGGATAAGTGCATGATGGCTAATTTATAGAACACTCTGTACTCTTGGGAATTGGATTCTCTCTGAACCTTAATGCAGTGATTTTATTTTTAAGGATATAGTCAAACTCCTTACTACTCAAAGTATGGTCTATAGACCAGTGCACTAGTAACATCCAGGAGATTGTTAGAAGTATAGTATCTCAGGGCCCAAGCTAGATCTACTGGATAAGAATCTATATTTTAACAAAATCCTGAGATAATACACATGCCCATTAAAGTGTGAGAAGTCCTGATATAATTAATATATTTCCATATGATTTAAACTGGCAGTGCCCGGCCGGGCGTGGCTCAGTGGTTGAGCGTCAACCTAGGATCCAGGCAATCGGGGTTCGATTCTCGGTCAGGGCACATGCCCAGGTTACAGGCTAGGCAGCTGATCAATGACTCTCTCATCATTGATGTTTCTATCTCTCTCTCCCTCTCCTTTCCTCTCTCTGAAATCAATAAAGATATATTTAAAAAATAAAAAATAAACTGGCAGTGATTTAACTTTCCTTAGTTAACTCGAAGGACAGGAAGTTTTTCCAGTCTACAGGTCCATTTTGGTAGGTAAGCCCTAAATCACGCCATTACCATTAAATTTTGAGTGTTTAAAAAGTTTAAACTGTTGCCTGGCCAGTGTTGCTCAGTGGTTGAGCATTGACCCATGCAGCAAGAGGTCATCCGTTGATTCCCAGTCAGGGCAGATGCCCAGGTTGTGGGCTCAATCCCCAGTAGGAGGCCTGCAGAAGGCAGCTGATTGAAGACGTTTCTCTACCATTGATGTTTCTCTCTCTCTATCCCTCTCCCTTCTCTCTCTAAAAATCAATGAAAACATTTAAAAATAAATAAAGGATAGTATAAAAATAAATAAAATAAAATACAGAGCAGATTTTTTTTTTTATTATTAATTTTTTAAGTGTTTTTTTTTTTCTTTTATATCTTTATTGATTTCAGAGAGAGGAAAGGAGAGGGAGAGAGAGAGATAGAAACATCAATGATGAGAGAGTCATTGATCGGCTGCAGCCTGCAACCCGGGCATGTGCCCTGACCGGGAATCGAACCCTGATTGCCTGGATCCTAGGTCGACGCTTAACCACTCAGCCACACCCAGCCGGGCTACACAGCAGATTTTAAAGGCTTAGTTCCAAAAAAAAAAAGTTTTAACTGTTGAGGAAAATTAAAATATGAAGGCGCTTGCATGAACTCATACCTCTCTCTGTTGCATCTTGGTCTGAATGGGAGCGCAAAGCAATGTGTTCATTCCTGTTGAGAAAAAAGAAAAGAAAAAACAATAGTCAATGATAAAAACATACTTCACCAAGAGCCTGATTTTCCTTTTGTTAGGTTCTTCATCAGTTACAAATACAGTAGCCCCTTATCAGCAGCTTTGCTTTTTGCGATCTCACTTATTCATAGTCAACCATGGTCTAAAAATATTAAATGGAAAATTCCTAAAACATACTCCCCACTAATAAGGGGTGACTACTGTATTTACTAAAGTTTTATTAGTTACTAAGCCCCTGTAAGAACTTAGTTATTACATTTTATTGACTTTTTAAAAATATATATGTCTTTATTGATTTCAGAGAGAGGAAGGGAGAGGCGGAGAGAGAGACAGAAACATCAGTAAGAGCCCGGCCGGGCATGGCTCAGCGGTTGAGCATCGACCTAGGATCCAGGAGATTGGGGTTCAATTCCCAGTCAGGGCACATGCCCGGGTTGTGGGCTCGATTCCCAGTCGGGGACATGCAGGAGACAGCCAATCAATGACTCTCTCATTGATGTTTCTATCTCTCGCTTTCCCTCTCCTTTCTTCTCTCTGAAATCAATGAAGATATAAAAAAAAGAAAGAAACATCAGTAAGAGTCATTGATCAGCTGCCTCCTGCATGCCCCCTGCTGAGGATTGAGCCCACAACTTGGGCATGTGGCCTGATTGGGAATCAAATCGGTGACCTCATGGTGCTTGGAATAACACTCAAACAACTGAGCCACATGGGCTGGGTTGAGGTGCAAATTTTAAAGGTGGAAAGTCTGGACTGGACTACTTCATCCCCCCCTTTAATTCTCCATTTTTATGTCCTGGATAGTAGAGGTTACATGGTAAAGACTACCAACTGATCAGACTGAATGTTAGGGTAAGATTTTTTTTTTAACGGTGGTCAGAGAAGGCTACATAAGGAAGGTTTATTTATTTTTTTAATCCTCACCCAAGGATATTTTTTCCATTGCTTTTCAGAGAGAGAGGAAGAGGAGAGAGAAACTCTGACTAGTTGCCTCCCACACACGCCTTGACCCACACCAGGGATCGAACCTGCAACCGAGGTACGTGCCCTTGGCCGGAATCAAACCAGGGACCCTTTCAGTCCTCAGGCAGATGCTCAAACCACTGAGCCAAATCAGCCAGGGCTAAGGTAAGATTTTGAAGTATCTTTTATTCTATAAGGAATCTAGACATTCCAATAATGAAATATGCATTTTATAAAAATAATTCTAGAGGAGAAGAATGTAGATTCAAGAGAAGATGAACCAATAAGGAAACTACTGTAATAGTTCAGATACAACATGATGAGAGTTTATGCTAGGGCAAGACACAATGAGAATGGAAATAAGGAATTAGAGTCAAGACATTTTAGAATTAAAATATAAAGGTTTAGGTAACAAACTAGACTTTAAAAATACGGGATTGAAGATGCTATAATAAAAAAGGAAATATATTTAAAAATACTTAAATATAAAAGCAAATCTTTAACCCTGGCTGGTATGGCTCAGTTGGTTGGAGCTTCGTTCAGTGCACCTGCATACAAGAGGCAACCAACTGATCTTTCTCTATCTCTATCTCCCCCTCCCTCCCTATCTTATCCTCTCTAAAAATCAATGAACATGTCTTCAGGGGAAGGTTATACAAAATAAAAATAGGCCCTGGCTGGTGTGGCTCCATTGATTGGAACGTCATCCCGTGCACCGAAGGGTATTGGGTTTCATTCCCCATCAGGGCATGTACAGGAGGCAGCTGATCTATGTGTGTGTATGTGTCTCTCTCTCTCCCTCTCTGTGTCCCTCTCTCCCTTCTTCTCTCTCTAAAATCAATAAAATTAAACTAAATTAAAAAAATAAAAGCAAATCTTTAGAACATTTTAAAGAGCTTACAGCAACCTTGATTAAACATGATGAAATACCGGTTTTTTTGGGAAGCCTTATTTATTAAGTTTCCAGTCATTTATCAAAAGAATCTATTGTGTGCCCCAATACAACTATATACTAAAGTACAAAGGAAAGATAAAATTTCTGGACTCAAAAGTTCCCAGTTTAACAAGACAAAAAATACCAAAACTACAACATGATAAATCATACAATACATGAGAAATAAGAGTGTTGTGAAAGCACAGGACAGAGTGACTTCTAAAAAAAAAAAAGACTCCATTTAAGCCAGTATTATTTAATGTATGGTGCCAGTCCATGAACTGCTTGTTACCAATTCACGATGGAATAAGAAGCTTGCAGCTAATGTAAATCATATAATATTTCCTTAATCAAAAAAGCCTTGCTAAGAAAAAAATGTCAGCTAAACCAAACAATAGCTTAGTAAATTAACTGCCATAGTTAATTTACATTCCAGTGTAAGTTCCTCTTCTGTCATGGACTGTAAAAATTTGTGGACTGGTTACTTTGAATAGCACTGAAGTTAAGCTAAGTGAAAAATGAGAAGACTGCTAGGCAAATTGTAGTAGGAAGCGCACGTTAGGTAAAGAAAATAGCATTTACAATGGGTAAAGGCAGGAAAAAAGTCCACATGGGAAATTACAAATAGTTCTTCATGGGCCAGAGGAAAGGATGCCTATAAAGAAAAGAAAATAAAGTTGGAGGAGAAGACAAGCCAAATGAAAAGGGGCTTTCTAAGTCTATGCTGAGGAGTGTGGGTTTTATCCTGCAAGCAAAAAAAGGGTCACTGAACAATTTTTAGCCCAAATGTAATATGATCAGATTTAGAAATACCTAGAGCCGGGCCGGGGTGGCTCAGTGATTGTTGACCCATGAACTAAGAGGTCACCAGTTCGATTCCTGGTCAGGGCACATGCCTGGGTTTCAGGCTTGATCCCCAGTAGAGAGCATGAAGGAGGTAGCTGATCAATGTTCCTCTCTCATCGATGTTTCTATCTCTCTATTCCTCTCCCTTCCCCTTTCTCTAAAATCAATAAAAGCATATTTAAAAGAAAAAAAAAAAAAGAAATACATAGAATAGTCTTCCACTTCCCGAAAACAACCTCTGATAATGGTTCACTATTCATTTGACCCAGAAAACCCTACAAAATCATGCAAATCAAGAGGCTCAAATCTCCATGTTCACTTTAAGAACACTTGTGAAATTGCCCAGACCATCAAGGGTAGGCATATTTGAAAAGCCACCAAGTATCTGAAGGATATCACTTTACAGAAGCAATGTGTGCCATTCGGTCATTATAACTTGTAGAGTTGGTAGGTGTGCCCAAGCAAAACATAGGGCTGGACACAGGGTCAGTAGCCCAAAAAGAGTGCTGAATTTTTGCTGCACAAGCTTAAAAATGCAGAGAGCAATGCTGAACTTCAGGGTTTAGATGTAGATTTTATGGTCATTGAGCATATCCAGGTGAACATCCAGCTCAGAACTTACAGAGCCAATGGGTGGATTAACACACACATGAGTTGTCCCTGCCACACTGAGATGATCCTTCCTGAAAAAGAGCAGGTTGTTCCTAAACCAGAAGAGGAGGCTGCACAAAAGAAAAAGATATCCCAGAAGAAACTGAAGAAACAAAAACTTATGGCCTGGAGTAACTTCAACATAAAATAAATACTGGTAAAAGTAAAAACAGAATTTAAAAAAAACAAATACATAGAATAGATTAGGAGGATCAGAAACTATACACAATAGCCCAAGAAAGAATAATAGGAACTTGAATTCGAACAGTGGCAGAAGGAACAGAGAAAAAGTGACAGTTTTGCAAGATATTTAAGAGACAGGATGGAGAGTAGGGCTAAATAGACACAGTATATGAAATGAAGCAAATGTTAAAAAAAATGACTCAATTCCTAACTTGAGTGAATAAATGAGAGAGTGTCTAAGATAGAGGAAATGAGGAACAGCAGGTTTGGAAGAAATAAAGTAAATTTGTGAAATTTTAAATTGAAAATTTTGTGTAACGAACAGAGCTCTCTTCACACTCTCTTTTTCATGGTTCTTTTAGATATTACTTATCAAGGAATCTGGATAAAGAGAAAGGTATATGATACGAAAAGTATTCTGATCATACTCACCAGTAATCTCACAATAATTATCTTCTGAATTCTTATTCCTAAAATTTAAAAAGTGTTTAAAAAATCTGTACCCCAAACAATTACCAAGAATCACAACAGTTGAATAATAATGCCAATTGCCTTCTACAATTTATACCCACTAGCAATGAGTAACATATTACCTATATTCTTAACTGATTGGATGAAAAATTATATCTCAATATAGTCTTATTTGTATTTCTCTTTTGAAGATAGGCATCTTTCCATTTGTTCAAGAGCTACTGGTATTTACTTTTTTATGTATTAATATTATAAGAATAAATTTAATGAAAAAAATCTGAAGATTGGTATTTATTGTTTTATACCAGCTGATGTATTTAAGGATTTATATTTGAACGAGTTATTTCATCGCTTTATTAAAGAATAAGTTGTACAATGCACATACTTATCAAATATAACAGTACATTAAATTCTGCCAAAAATTTGTTTTTTAAATTAATCCTACGTATTACACAAAAGGGACACAAAAATAAAGAACAAAAAGGATATTAATTTAAAAGGCACTTTATTTAATAGAAATAAATAACATTTAAAATGTAATTTGAATAACATTTTCCTTACTTACTGTATAAATAGAACATTTTCTCTTGCTTCTGTTTCTAAAAATTTAAAAAAAATTAAAATTTTTCAAGGACACACTGATGAAGCATTAGAAAAACTGCATAAGGACATTAACAATAATAAAAAAACCTGCCCCGCAAGGCTCAAGTTATACTTTTAAAGCAATAAAATAAGCAATAAGCTATATCAATTAGATACCCACAGTAAAATTTTATACAAAACAGACTTAGCTGGAATTACATTAATATATTACCTGCAATTTCTGACTTCCTCACTATTTTCATATGAGATTCTGTCTGGAATACCCTAGAAAAGAGAATAAAGATTAATCAAAATCTGTAATTTTGAATTAGAACACTATGGTATTAGTTTATACTGTTTGTATCTCAACATAATAAAGTCCATATATGACAAACCCACAGCTAACATTATACTCAATGGCGAAAAACTAAAAGCATTTTCCTTAAGATCAGGAACAAGACAGGGATGTCCACTTTCATGGCTCTTATTGACCACAGTACTAGAAGTCCTAGCCACAGTAATCAGACAGGAAGAAGAAATAAAAGGCATCCAAATGGAAAGGAAGAAGTAAAACTGTCATTGTTTGCAGATGACATGACGCTGTATATAGAAAACCCTAAAAAGTCCACCAAAAAAACTACTAGAACTGTTAAAATAAGTATCTAGAAATTGATTTCATTTTTATACACCAATAATAAACTATCAGAAACTAAGAAAACAATACCATTTACAATTGCATCAAAAAAATAAAATGCCTAAAAATAAATTTAACTAAGGAGGTAAAAGACATGTACATGGAAAATTTTGAGATACTGAAGAAAGAAATTAAAGAAGATACCAATAAGTGGAAGCATATACTGTGTTCATGGATAGGAAGAATTAAAATCATTAAAATGTCCATACTACCCAAAGCAATAGAGTCAATGCAATTCCTATCAATATATCAATGGCATACTTCACAAACTATACTACAAGGCCACAGTAATCAAAACAGCATGGTACTGGCAAAAAAAACAGACATATAGATCAATGGACCAGAACAGACAGCCCAAAAATAAACCCATGCCTGTATAGTCGGTTAATATTGGACATAGGAGGCAAGAACATATAATAGGGTAAAGATAGTCTATTCAACAAACTGTGCTGGGAAAATTGGACAGATACATGCAAAAAAAATGAAACCAGACCACTTTCTTACACCATATCTAAGAATAAACTCAAAATGGATTAAAGATTTATATGTAAGACTCAAAACCATAAAACTCCTAGGAGAAAACATAAGCAATAAAATATCAGACATTTCACTTAGTAATATTTTTTCTGATATATCTCCTTGGGCAAGGGAAATGACAACAACAAAATAAACAAATGGGACAACATCAAACTAAAAAGTTTTGGCACAGCTAAGGGTACCACCAACAAAATGAAAAGATAACCCAATGAAGAGAAGAACATATTTGCCAATGATACATCCAAAAGGACTTAATGTCCAAAACTTATTTTAAAAATCCATACAACACCAAAAACACAAACAATCCAATTAAAAAATGGCAAAGGGCCTGAACAGACACTTCCCCAAAGAGGACATACAGACGGCCAACAGACATATGAAAAGATGCTCAAAATTAATAATCATCAGAGAAAGGCAAATTGAAACCATAGTGAGATACCACCTCACACTTGTCAGAATGGCTATCATCAATAAATCCACAAACAAGTGTTGGCAAAGATGTGGAGAAAAGGGAACCCTCATGCACTGTTGGGGGGAATGCAGACTGGCGCAGCCACTATGGAAAACAGTATGGAGGTTCCTCAAAAAATTAAAAATGGAACTAACTGCCTTATGACTCAGCAATTCCACTTCTGGGTATATAGACAGAGAAACTCAAAACATTAATTTGAAAAATATATGCAGCCTTATGTTCATTGCAGCGTTATTTACAATAGCCAAGATAAGGAAGCAACCCAAGAGCCCATCAATAGATGAGTGGATATAAAAAAAAAATATCTGTGGTAAGAGTATTACTTGGTCATAAAAAAGAATTTTACCACTTGAGTCAAAATGAATGTACCTCCAGGGTTTTATGCTAAGTGAAATAAGTCAGTCAGAGAAAGACAGATACCATATGATTTTACTTTATATGTGGAATCTAAAGAGCAATATAAACAAATAAAACAGAAATAGACTCATAGAACAGAATGACGACTGCCAGAGGAGATGGGGGTTGGGGGACTGGGTGAAAATGGTGAAGGAATTGAAAAGTACAGATTAATAGTTACAAAATAGTCATAGGGATGTAGAGAACATAGGAAATACAGTCAATACTAGTGTAATAACCATGGTGCCTGCTGCGTACTGGAAATATCAGGGGGAATCCTTTGTAAAGTATACTTTGAGTTCAACTTCCCCTTTGGTACATCAAGTACTATTAATATTTCAAATGCCAAAATTAGTTTACCACATTAAAATCTATTACAGTTTTTTAATGAACTCTGACAGGATCATTATTCTTTTACTCTCAATAACCTAGAAAATTTCATTCAACGAACATTTATTAAGCGCTCACTATATGCCTGGTGCTGTATACTAGTCTGACACATAATCCTTGACCTCAAGGTGCTTTCACTAGAGCGTTAGAACAGTGATTATAAACATTACTTTACTGACCTTTGTTATTAACAGTTCAGATAAGGTGGCAGGGACCCCAGAGGAAGGGATCTCTTTTCATTGTGATGATTAAAGTTTTATGCAGAAGTAGCATTTGATATCTGCCTTGATGAATTTGAGCTTGATGAACTCGATCCAATCTTTGGCTTTTTTTAAAAACATGTTTTTACTGATTTCAGAGAAAGGAAAGCAGAAGGAGAAAGAGAAAGAAACATCAACGATGAGAGAGTCATTGATCAGCTGCCTCCTGTACGCCCCTTACTGGGGATCGAACCTGCAACCTGGGGAATGTGCCCTGAGAAGGAATCAAACTGTGTGACCTTCTGGTTCACAGGCTGACGCTCAACCACTGAGCCATGCCGGCCGGGCTGATCAGTTCATTTTCATTCTGCTAATATTATCATTCACTTTGCAAGCATATTATATGCCAAGCATACTGTGTGCCAAGCACTGTGCTATGTTCTTTATGTGTATTTTTAATGATTTTAACAATTACCATGTTGTTTTACAGATGTAGATATTGAGGGTCATAAAGGTTAAGTAACTACCAAGGTCACATAACTGGTAAGTGGCAGAGCCAAAATGCAAACTCAAATCTGTCTGACTTCAAAACCTGCGCTTATAACTACAAAACTGTACTTGAAACAACTTCAAATGATTTACAACAGAACAATCGAAGCCTTTTTATGCAATATGAGCAGCATCAATAGTTGGTCAATTAATCAAAAAATATCTTTAAAAAAAGAAGTCATAACTGACCTACATATACCTTAACCATTTTAAAAACTTGGATTTTAATTTGTAAATCTCTTTATACCAATCTGAGGTCTTTACTCCGAGTGTGGATCTACTGGTATAATTTTAGTGTATTTATAAAGTTTTTAAACACACTTTAAAGCAATATTAACACAGAAAACTTCCAAATTTTTATGACTGATTTCCCTCCCTGTCTTTTGTCTTGTCTCACCCATACCAAATTTGAAAGTAATTTTAAAAAATTAATTCACCTTTATCAACCTTTTCCTAGCCATTCAATATAATTTTCACAGAAATAACTATCTTTGTCTTTGAGCTCATTGTCATTGGTTTATGTAATATTAGATTAAGTTATGCAATTGCAACTTCAACTACATAAACAAGACAGACAGTCCTTGGTAAGCCAGCCAATCAACTCTTGGAATCTAAAGTTTATGGTCATGACAGTGTTCAGTGCACTGTAGGTATCAATCAGTATGCTTTACAAAGGGAATAAAGAATATAGGTTAATTCCAAAAATTCAGTTAGGTGAGAGTTTTAAGAGAGCCAAGTAAGCATTAATAACAGAGCAAATGTGAAAAACACAGAAAGCAGAAAGAAGTAATGTAATACCAATCGGATAGGCCTAGAAAATACATCTAATTTCATAAGTACTAGAGGAAAAAGAAAATACCAACAACGTGAAAAACATAAGAGAAGCCATCATAATGTAATAATTAAGAATATTTGATGTGAAATAGTACAAAGTCTGAGCCCTACCTCTTAATAAGTATGGGAACCTGAGCAAGTTACTTAAGCTAAGCCTCAGTTTCCTTATCCATAAAATGAGATATGGTTGTTAGAATTCAATGAGTAATAAATGCAAATAGTAGCATAGTGCCAGTCGCATTGTAAATATTCAATATTAGTTATTAATAATAAATCAAAATTTAACAATGAGATGTCACCTCACTCCTGTCAGAATGGCTACCATCAACAAATCAACAAATGACATGTGCTGGCGAGGATGTGGAGAAGGGGAACCCTAGTACACTGCTGGTGGGAATGCAGACTGGTGCAGCCACTATAGAAAACAGTATGGAGTTTCCTCAAAAAATTAAATATGGAACTGCCATTTTACCCAGTGATTCCACGTCTAGGAATATATCCTAAGAAAACCAAAACACCAATTAGAAAGAATCTATGCACCCCTATGTTCATAGCAGTGCAATTTACAATAGCTAAGTAATAGCCCAAGTGCCCATCAGTAAATGAATGGATAAAAAAGCTGTGGTACATTTATATCATGGAATACTATGCACCTGTGAAAAAGAGCAGCACGGATAGAACTGGAGAGTATTATGCTAAGTGAAATAAGTCAGTCAGAGAAAGTCAAGCATTACATGATCTCACTCATGTGGAATCTAATGAACAAAATAAACTGATGAACAAAATAGATACAGAGACATAGAACCATGGAACAGTCTGACGAATTTCAAAGGGAAGGCAGGGGGTGGGGGAGTGTGTGGGGGAGAGATTAATCAAAGAACTTATATGCATAACCTATAGACACAAAAAATAGTGTGGAGAAGGCCTGGGGGGACAGGTGGGGGCAGATGCCGGGTAGAGGGGATCAATGGGGGGAGATGGGGGGACATATGTAATGCTTTCAACAATAAAGATTTAAAAAAAAGTATTTCAAAAGGGGAAAAAAACTTAGACATATATAAATCCACTTTCAATTATTTGAGATAGGTAATCTTCCTATATTAAAATGATCATTTCAACATGATTATTGAGAGGACAGAGCTTTTTCTTTTTGAGAAATAATACAAAAGAAAGGTATCTTCGAGCACCTATTGTCAGGTTTTTAAAACCTAAGCAGGAGCCCAAGCGACGTGGCTCAGTGGTTGAGCATCGACCTATGATCCAGGAGATCGAGGTTCGATTCCCCGGTAAGGGCACATGCCCCAGTTGTGGGCCTGATCCCCAGTAAAGGGACATGCAGAAGGCAACCAATCAGTGGCTCTCTCATCACTGATGTTTCTCTCTCTCTCTCTCCCCCTTGCTCTCTCTAAAATCAATACTTATTTTTAAAAAAATCTAAGAGGGAAAAAAAGGCTCTTAGAAGTTGCTTCTAGGAAGGAGAAAGAATATTTTTAAAATTAAAAAAAAAAAAAAGAATGATATCTGATCTGTTCCAACTTTATGAAAAATGTGGACTTGGATTTAAAAATAAAAACAATTTCAAAAATCAGCTTTATTGTTCCATCTTACTCATTAACACCAAAATAAATTCTAGATGGGTTAAATAAAATGAACCTATAAAGAGACCAGAAGAAAATACAAGTGAATTAAAGAAAATAATTTGGCATCTGATATTTTAAACAAATCTGGAAACTCAAAGCAAAAACACGGGCAGATCTGACGATATAAAAATTTAAAACTTTTATACAGGAAAATACCAAATAAGGAAAATTAAAACAGGTAAAAAAAAAAAAAAATTGCAATGCAGATGAAAAAGGGCTGATAGCCCTAACAATTAAGAAACTTTAACAAGTCAGAAGAAAAAGACAACTATACACATTAAGAAAAATGACCTAGAAACAATGACTAATTCAAAAGTGAGGAGAACCTATAACATCCATATTGTGGTTTCTAAATGCCATTTCCTATTAAAAGAACTGAGCCACTCCTTGGAGAAATGGGTGATTCCAGGTCTGGGGCAGATAATACATAAGATGAACATGAAAATCTTGATATACTGTAAAGAAACTATTAAATATTATTGGTGTTATGTTAAAAGGCCAGGAACCAATCTGAAGAGATTCTATTGTTCAAAGATAGAATAACCTGAGTACTAATAAAAATAATAATTACAACTACTGAAACATATTAAATATACTTAAGTTCATGACATAGATACTTAGATATCTAGATAATGATACTAGGGAAAAATACCTCATTAGTCAACTTTGAAGATACTAGAAAATCACTGAAAACTAGTAAGTAAAGGGGGAAAAACACCCCCCAAGCATTCATTCAACCTGTCTTTCCTATATGAACCATAATTCAAAGCAAACAAATAGTTTTATGGGAAAACCCTCTCAATAGAAGTGCTATAAATGCAGAAGGAATGACAGAATGAGAATATTGTCAATTAGCAAAAACTCTAAAAACATAATGGATCTAGGCAATGATCATCAATGGCTATTAACATTACAAAAAGATAGGTAACTGAACAATAAGCACAGGACACTACCTATGAAATTTTCTGGTCCAAAATATCAAATTTAAGTCAAATCAAGCCTTCTACCTCTAACAACCAATTTACAGGAAATCAATTGTAGAGGGACACACTTCACAATGTTATCCCCATGAGGATACAATCAGCAAAATCCAGAATGTGAGACACTCAATGGGACAAAAGGAAGGAGAACCTACAGACTAAGAGACTTAAGAGAGATAGCAGCCAAATAGAATGTGTTAACCTTGTTAGGATTCTGAGTCATGCCAATCATGGGGGTAAAAATTGAGACAATCAGAGAAATGTGAACATTGATCAGATATTTGATAAAAAGCGTCATGGAATTACTGTTGGCTTTGTTTGTTTTTTGTTAATCCTCACTTGAGGATATTTTTTTTTCCATTGACTCCTAGAGTGGAAGGAAGAGAGGGGAGAGAAACACTGATGCATCTGTCTCTTGGTTGCCTCCCACATGCACCCGAAGGGCTGCAACCCATGTGCTCGCCCTTGACTGGGAATCAAACCCTAGACCTTCGGTTCTCAGGCCAACGCTCTAACCACTGAGCCAAACTGGCCAGGGCTTCCGTTGGCTTTTAAAAGACATATTAATAGCATTATTAATATGTTCTTTAAAAATAGTTTTTTAAAAATATAACTAATAAAATCCATCTGGGATTCATATGAAAACAATTCAGTAGGAGGGGAAAGGGAACTAAGTGGGAGTATAGTTAAACAAGGGTAGCCATAGTTGACAACTGTTGCTGGAAAATGAACACTTGAGTTTTCATGATACTATTTTCTCTACTTTTGTGTTATAATTTTTCATCATGAAATAGAAAAAAAAGGAAGAGCAAATTGGAAATCTTTTTTTCAAATTTCCCAATAACCTTTCTTTATACCTCTACTTCCCTCAGACTTGTCTGTGTAACCCAGACCTTTGCATCATCTTAGTAGTAAAATTTGAAGACTTAGTAGTTTTGTTCCTGACTTTAGAGGGAACATTTTCAGTGTTTTTCTTTTAAGCATAATGCTAAATAACAACCTTTTAAATAATAATTCTCTAATGCTTATCTAACAGAAACATAGACTATTTGAGTCAGCACTAACATATTTAGTTTGACACACAACAAAGCATTACCTGTCATTTAAAATTATTTCTCCTTTCAACTTACTTTATAGTATCTGCAAAGCTGACTCGACGAGAGCTTTTCTTATTTCTCGAAGCATTGGGTTCCTAAGGGCAGAGAATATATGGTATGATTCTTAATGAAACCACTGTGAATTAGGTCTCCAGAGTACTATAGACAGCCCAAGTCTTATTCTGAAATAATTTGAAATTAGTAATTTTCATTATTATTAATTTGAGTCTCCAAAATATCCCAATGTAGAAACACTTAACAAACATGAATATAATTTTCAATGTGAATGATAATAAGCATACTGACACAAACAACATATATTTAAGGAGGTTACTGTCCCCTTACCTTCTCTCTAAGTCAATGGCTATTTTGCTACCGAGAAGAAGAGTGAGGATAAAGCAAATGATATGTTGCCCATTATGATAAATTTACTATTTTTAAGATTTAAAAAAAATTTAATTGTAGTAAAATACACATAAATAAAATTTACCATATTAACCATTTTGAAAATTTTATTTTATTTTATTGTGGTAAGAGCAATTTACAAGAAATCTACCCTCTTAACAGATTTTTAAAGGTACAATACAATGTTAACTATAGGCACAGTGTTGCACAGATCTCTAAAACATATTCATCTTGCATAACTTAAATTTTATACCTGTTTATTAGCCACTCCCTTTTTCCCCTCCTCTCTGCCCCTGGCAACCACTACTCTTCTGCTCTCTGCTTTTATGAGTTTGACTATTTTAGATACCTCATGTAAGTGGAATCATACAGTATTTGTCCTTCTGTGTCTGGCTTATTTCACTTAGCACAATGTACTCAAGCATCTTAACCATTTTTTAAAAATATATCTTTATTGATTTCAGAGAGAGGAAGGGAGCGGGAGAGAAAGAGAGAAACATCAATGATGAGAGAATCATCATTGATCGGCTGCCTACTGCACACCCCCAAGTGGGGATCAAGCCCGCAACCCAGGCACGTGCCCTGACTGGGAATCGAATCACGATCTCCTGGATCCTAGGCTGACGCTCAACTGCTAAGCCACACCTGGTCGGCTGTAACCATTTTTAAGTGTACAGTTCAGTAAAGTATGTCTATGTTGTTATGCAACCAATCTCCAGAACTCTTCTCATCTTGCAAAGCTGAAAGTCTATATCCATCAAACAACTTCCCTTTCCCCCCAACCTTTCCGTAACAACCATTCTATTTTCTGTCTCTATGAATTTCACTACTCTAGGTACTTCATAAGTGGAATCATAATTTTTTTTTTCTTTTGTGCCTGGTTTATTTCACTTAGCATAATTGTTTCAAGGTTCATCCATACTAAAGATTTTTTATTTTTTAAATATATCTTTATTGATTTCAGAGAGAGGAAAGGCGAGGGAGAGAGACAGAAACATCAATGATGAGAGTCATTGATCGAGCCCACAACCGGGGCATGGGCCCTGACCGGGAATCGAACCCTGATCGCTTGGATCCTAGGTCGATGCTCAACCGCTGAGCCACACCCGGCCGGGCCATACTAAAGATTTTTTAATTGATTTTTTTTTTTTTTTGAGAGAGAGACAGAAACATTGATGTGATCAGCTACCTCCTGCATGCCCCCTACCGGAGACCAAACCTGAAACCTAGACATATGACCTGATGGGGAATTGAACCGGCAACCCTTCAGTGCACAGGACAATGCCCAACCAAGTGAGTCACACCAGCCAGGACCAGAACGCCCTTATTTTTTAAGGCTGAATAATATTCCATTGATACCACATTATTTACCCATTCATCAGTCAATGGACACTGGGTTGCTCCCTCCCTCTGACTACTGTGAAATGTGATGCCATGAACAGGGGTGTACATCTCTTCAAGATCCTTCTTTCAATTCTTTTGAGTATATACCCAGAAGTGGAATTGCTGGATCATATGGTAATTCTATTTTAATTTTTTGAGGAAGTGCCATATTGTTTTCCACAGCAGCTCTACCATTTCACATTCCCACAAGGTACAAAGGTTCCAATTACTCCACATCCAAGCCAACACTTCTTATTTTCTGTTTTTTTGATGGTAGTCATTTTAACAGGTATGAGATGACATCTCATTGTGGTTATAATTTGCATTTCACTAATGATTAGTGATGTTGAGCATCTTTCATTATAATACACAGTTTTTATTTTTCCTCATACTCCTTACCAAGAGCTAACATTTTTACTCACATAGATACTAAACACAAAAAGCAAGACAAAGAAACAAACAAAATCCACAGAGAATTTTACTGTGTTAATTCTGAATACCTGAACATAAGTCTTATTATAACAAAGAATCAGGAATGTTCATCCTGACAGATACTACAGGTGACCTCGAGCTTAACACCTTGCTGACCAGCTATTTTGAGCCAGAACTCGCCCATGTGGCCAGCTACTTTTCTATCCTGACCGGTCAGCAAGGTGTTTACAATTATTTAAATTAATGTAAGTGCAGACACAAGTTATCTCGTGACCAGTAAGCAATGTTTGGACATGGAAATGCATGTATACTCGTGACCAGTCAGCAAGGTGTATGACAATAATACTAACACAGGAAATAATGGTACTAAAAGAGACTAATACATTGTTTTCTTTTTTCTACAACTTTAATATGTTTTTTATGCTAGAAAGGCTTTCTTTACAGATAAAGTGAAATATTCAGCATGAAAAAAAGGGTATGTAAGACAAGCAACTTATCACCTAAGTCAGTTCCCTCAGAAATGATCTTCAAAATGCAAGCTCCACTTTCTTCAGTATTCTTAGAAGGCATGGTGGGTCTGGGCAGCATGGCTTACACAGACTAGGTATAGTCCTCTAAAGGTACTTATATCTACTTTTTTCTTGATCTGCTGTAGTCTCTGTAAACTAACTTTGACTAGTTCTATCAGGAGAGACAGGAAGGGAAACTGCTAGACTATTTCAAGTCTTCAGTGGCTGGGGCTTTCTACTGCTCTTCAACAGTATTTTCAGATCCAAATACTAGCATATTTCTTACTAAAAAAGAAAAACAAATTTGTGTGGTATATTAGAAATTAGTAGATTAGAGCTCTAATTTGAAGTCTGCCACAAACTAGGTGTGTGGGCTTAGACAAAACATTTAACCTCTCTGGACATCATATTTCTCATCTATAAAATGTAAAAACTAGATTCAAGATTACTGGTGATAATACTCTAGTTTCTCTTTAGATTGCATAAATCTTTCACCTTTCACTGAGGATTTCTGTGGAGAGGAACAACCACCACCACCAAAAGATTACTGGTGAGGTCCTGTTGATTCTAAAGCTCTATAAGTCTATAAATGTCACTTAATCATTCAAAGTTCATTAAAAAGATTTTTTTTGCCCTGGTTGGTGTGGTTCAGTGGTTGGAGCGTTGGCCCGAACACCCAAGGATTGTTCCAAGGGGTTTCCAAGGGTTGTGGGTTCAATTTTCAGTCAAGGGTTCATACCTGGGTTGTAGGTTCAATCCCCGGCCCTGGTCAGGGAGGGTGCAGGAGGCAACCAATCGATGTCTCTTTCTCACATCAATATTTCTCTCTCCCTCCCTCTCCTCCCTTCCACTCTCTCTTAAAAAAAAAAAAAAAATCATTGGAGAAAATATCCTTGGGTGAGCCTTAACCAAAATAACAAAACACAAAAAAACCAAAACATTTTTTTAACGAGGGGTCAGGGGGAGGTAGGAGAGGGTAAAAGGGGGATAAATGGTGATGGAAGGAAACCTAACTTGGGGTGGTGAACACACAATACGATACACAAATGATGTATTATAGAATTGTACCCCTTGGAAACCTATATAATTTTATTTTTGTCACCACAATAAATTCAATAAAAAATAAAATGAATAAATAAAAACACATTTTTTAAAAATACACACATTCTAGATCCTGTGCTGATAGAAAAACAGTGGTAAAGAAAATACAGCCCTACTGTACTAGGAATTAATGGTGAAACACATTCAAACAAAAAATTCATACAAATGTAAAACTCAAAATGAGTGGTATGAAAGAAAACTACATAAAAAAACTAATTTAGCCTGAGAATCAGGAAAGATTTCTTTGAGACAGTACATTTAAGTAGAAACCTGAAGTATTAGTAGTCAGATGAAGAGTTGGGTAGAGGAGAAGCACTGTAGACACAATGCAGAAAAAGTTTGATGTATTTGAGAAACAGAAAGATTAGACATCAACAAAATGAAAAGACAACCTACCGAATGGAAGGAACATATTTGCCAATGATACTAAGAGGTTACTATCCAAAATTTGTAAAGAACTCATACAACTCAACACCAAAAAATCAAATAATCCAATTTAAAAATGGGCAAAGGACCTGAGTAGACACTTCTCCAAAGAGGGCATACAGATGACCAATAGATATATGAAAAGATGCTCAAAATCACTAATCATCAGAGAAAGGCAAATTAAAACCACAATGAAACATTACCTCGCACACCTGTTGGAATGGCTATCATCAATAAATCCACAAACAAGCGTTGGCAAGGGTGTAGAGAAAAGGGAACCCTAATGTACTATTGGTGGGAATACACATTGGTGCAGCCACTATGGAAAGAAGTATGGAGGTTCCTCAAAAAATTAAAAATGGAATTGCCTTATGATCCAGCAATTCTACTTCTGGGTATATATCCAAAGAAATCCAAAACACTAATTTGAAAGAATATATGCACCACTATGTTCACTGTAGCATTATTTACAATAGCCAAGATATGGGAGCAACCCAAAAGCCCATCAGTAGATGAGTGTATAAAAAAGCTGTGACACATATATACAACGGAATATTACCCAGCCATAAAAAAGAATAAAATCTTAACATTTGCAACAGTAGGGATGAACCTAGAGGCTATTATGCTAAGTGAAATAAGTCAGACTGAGAAAGACAAATATCATATAATTTCGCTTATATGTGGAATCTAAAGAACAAAATAAACAAAACAAAAACAGACTCACAGATACAGAGAATAGAGTGATGGTTGCCAGGGGATGGGGGCTGAGGAACTGGGTGAAATAGATGAAGGGATTAAGAAGTACTAATTGACAGTTACAAAACAGTCACAGGGATGTAAAGTACAGCATAAGGAATACAGTTAATAACACTGTAATAGCTATGTATGGTGCCAGGTGGGCACTGAAAATATCAGGGGGAACACCCTGTGAACTTTATGATTGTCAAACCACTGTGCTGTACATATAAAACTAAATAAAAAATAATACTGAATGTAAACTGTAATAAATTTTAAAAAAAGAAAAAATGGGAAAGTAAAAAAAAAAAAGAAAGATTAAGGAGACCAAAGTAGAATGAGCACTCAGAGTTATATGTTCTCCAAAACTATTTGCATTGCATCAATCAACAAAATGTACTAAAAGCCATTATGTATCAGGCACAATAAATTTAAAAAACACATGATGAAGTTCCTGCCTTTAGGGAGCTCTCAATTTAGAAAGGACATTAATAAACAATTACAATAGAAGGTGTAGAGGATGATTTTTCTGAGACAAGTGATTCCAAAGCTGAGTCTTGAAAGACAAATAGGAATTACCAAATAAAGAGGGCTACAGATGTATGACAAAGTATGATAAAATATTAATTGTAGAATCTAGGTGATGATTATATGAGCATTCACTATAAAATTCTACTTTCAGTATGTTTAAATAAAATGTTGGGATAAAAAAGAAGAATGAAGAACTAGCCATCTAGGCAGAGGAAACATCATATGTAAATACTTGCAGGTTTCAGAGTTCATGTCTTAGTTGGGGAATAGTAAGCAATTCCAAATGGTAAGATATATGTGTGAGAGTGGCAAAAAAGAAGGCTGCAAAGTAAATAGGGGTTAAAAAATCATGAGTGCCAGCTTACTCAAGTGTTCGGATTTTAACCTGAAGGCCATGGGATGCTTACTTATTCCTATTCAATTGAGAATCATTTATGATGTTCTCTCTTCATATCGCTAACAAAGTTCCTAACTATTAACAATATTACTGAAAATAGTCATCTATAAAGCATTTGCACTAGAAACTTACCTGAATTATTTCATTCCCATCTCTGAGGTCCCGCAGAGGACTCCTTGGGGGTTTCAAAATCTAGAAGAGAATTATTGAAGAAAATCCAGCATATCTATTAAATCAGTTCATTTCAAGTTATACCATGAATAGAAAGGTAGAGATGCTAAAATTCCTATAAAAACCTCTCAAATTCCTCAAATTCATACTGTTCCATACTATGCTTTGTGGTTCGTTTAAATATTTGGTATCTATTCCCCTCTCCCTCCCTGCCCATCTTCCCCAATTATTTTCCCAAATCTGATCTCATGTGGTCTGGGTGAAGTTCCATCTGAATCTAGGGTACAGCATGTAGCCCTGGTTTAGAACAATCTGCACATGATATTCTCTCAGCAATAGTGATTGGTTCAGGAATGAGGACTTGACCTTTCTTGAGATAATCAAGCCAAACGATTCAATTCTGAGTTGATTGTTTTTTTATCTTGAGGATACAGACACTGTTTTTCCATGTAGGACTTGAATCTGGAAGTAGTAAGCATGGAGAGCCTGTCTAATAATGGAGATTGCCCAAAGAAAGCAGCCAGAGTAGAAAAAGTGAAAGGAAATTCTAGTATTGATGATATTGTTGGAATCCCTGGTCAGTACGTCATGTTTACAGTCATTCTATCTTTGGATTTTTCAATTTCATAACCAAATAAATTTTGAGCTCAGATCAGTTGAAGTTGGATATTTTTGTGTCTTGCTACAGCTTTGTACACCAGTTTAAATACATACACACACACACATATATGTTGTTTTTTTAAAGTGCAATTTACTGATATTTAGAGAGAGAGGGAGAGAAAGATAGAAACACCGATATGAGAGCACAACATCGATGGGTTGCTTCCTGCATGCTCCCTACCAGGGATAGAGCCCAAAACCTGGGCATGTGCCCTTGACTGGCAATTGAACCAGCAACCTCCTAGTGCATGGAACAATGCTCAACCAACTGAGCCACACCGGCTGGGCAGTTTAAATACAGTGGTACCTCGGTTTTCGAACATCTCTGTTGTCTAACATTTCGGTTTATGAATGCCGTAAACCCGGAAGTAAATGCTTCGGTTTCGGAACACACCTCAGAAGTTGAATATGCCACACGGCTTCTGCTGAGTGCAAGATCCTGAGGCCTATCTGTAGGCTGCTGAGTCTCTGTTTTCCGTTTCAGAACTCCAATGGTCTTCTGGAACGGATAACATTCGAAAACCGAGGTACCACTGTATATTTTTAAACAGCTATATTAAAGTATCATTTACATAGCATTCAATTTCTAAAATTACCATGAAATAAAATAAAAATTTTAACATATTTATAGAATTGTGTAATCAGATTAAATATGAATCTTTATCCAGAGAGCAACAGAAGACAGTAGGGGTGGGATGATGATGCCATAGTCAAAACTACTGTTGTATATAGTCATCATTCAAAAAACGTAAACAATTAACTTAAATAAGCGTTTCTTACTGAGGAATGTCGTCTTCTAACAGGTTTCTCTGTATTGTCGCTGAAAAAGAAAAAAAATTTACTTATACACTGAAAAAAGACTGAATTTTCAAAAGCCCACAGTATCCTTTACATGCTTTTAAACTGGCCATCACTTTCACTTAGCAAAATTTATAACACTTTAAATTCAATATTTACCAAATCAGTGTTTTAAAATACATATTGTATACTACAATACTCTCTCTTAAAACACAGTACAACATAATTTAAAATATTTACAGAGATACAATTATAAGATAAATGGACTCTAAATCAAGAGACTCTAACTCTGGTTTTTATTAGTACAGGTTTTGAAAATTCAAATGCCTGTAGAGGCTAAACACATACTTTAGTAAGTGCAAGAAAAATAGGTGGGGTGGGGACCATAATGGAGAGTTCCTAACTGGTCTAAAGGTCATAGACATTGCTGCGCTCAGGTTAATTGTTGCCAAGCATAAATATAAGCCGTCTAGCCACAGCTGATTTTTCAAGAGAAGCTGAAAATCTAATTGTTATATGAAATCTTGAAATTTTGGAATTTCGCAACTAATTCAAAAATTTAAAAACACTGCTTAGGAAAAAAAATTCTATCTCTGATTGCAAACAGGCCACCAGTTTGTGATGCCAACTTTAGACAAATCATTTCATTTCCTTGTTCCTCAATTTTCTCAACCTTAAATTGAAGAGATGAGACATGGTCTCTCAAGCCTCTCTGTTTTGACTCTGGATGAATTTATATAAAAATATGGCAAGGAAAACCTACTGATAACTTCTGAAATCTTTTTCCATTCTCTTCCAGGGAAAAGAAGTAAATGTTATAAAGTCAATAGGTCTTACTAGTTGAAGACATATCTTTTCTCTGATAAAGTTCAACATTTTTAGAGGCATTGCATGAACTTACTTTTCTTCATTAGTTTCTGAAGACATCCCATCCATTTTTGAAGAAAACCTTTTCTGTAATAAACACACAATATTAGAAAAGGTGAGAATGAAAGAAGAGAAAGTACAATCCATAGAACTTAAGAGCAGAATTTTTACTTCACTATTACTTTCTGGGGAAAGACAAAAAAAAAAAAAGGAAGGAAGGAAAGCTGCATTACAGGGCCATAAGATAAGAAATTTTGAGGAGTTTAAACTACGTACTGCTCTATTATAATCAATACTCCTGGAAAATTCTTATATTTAAGATAAAATCAGTGACTAACTCTGAATGGGATAATATAGACTTTAGTGCTTCAAATAAGTTTGCCCTAGTTTATGGATACATGCCCGTGACTGGGAATTGAACCTGAGACCCTTTGGTTCGAGGGCAAAGCTCTAACCACTGAGTCACACTGGCCAGGGCAAAAGTCTGTTTGTTTGTTTATTTATTTATTTATTTTTAATCCTCACCTGAGAATATTTTTTCCATTGCTTTTCAGAGAGAGTGGGGGGGGGGGAGAGAGAGAAAGAGAAAAACATTGATGTGAGAGAGATGATGAGAGAGAAAGAGAAAAACATCAATTGGTTGCCTCCCACACACACCCCAACCAGGGCCAGGGTTTGAGCCTGCAACTGAGATACATGTCCTTGGCTGGAATCCAAAAGTCTGCAGGCCGACCCTCAAACCACAAGCCAAATCAGCCAGGGCTGTTTATTTTTAAAATCAATTTATTCAATCAGCTATCCATAAAGATAAGATGATGGGCACCTTCTAGGATTTTATCTCTGACCCTCTCCCTTTTGTTCTCTATTACTTTCTCAGTTTGCTCATCCATTCTTCTAGTTTCACTTACTTCCTGTTCACAGGTAAAACCCAAATCTACTTAAAGTAATATTTTTAAATTTTAGCTTTTTGTACATAATATAAGAAGTTGATTTTACAAAATTAGTTTTTTTAAAGCATCTTCAATTTCCTCATTCCCAAAAGCAACTACTTTCACTATTTTAAGCTAATTATTTTGTATTTTAAAAAAGCTCTTTCCTTGCAACCACCTCCATCTAACACATAAAAACACCAACCCTACCCCACCACGCCCAGATAAATACAGTACAAGAAAGAAAAGATTACATGCCAATTTCACTACCATAAATATAAAAATCCTAAATAAATAGCAAAAAGGAGCCAGCTATTTGTAAAAAGGATATATCGTGGTCATGTTGGTTTTATTCCAAAAATGCAAAATTGGTTAAACATTAGAAAATTAATTTTATAATTAATCACACTAACAGATTAAAATGAAAAAATCATAAAGTCACCTTAACCAATAAAAAAAAAGTTTGATGAACTTTAACATCCTTTTGTGTTTAAAACAAAAGAAAAGAAAAACTTAGCAAACTATGAATAGAAAGTAAATCCCTTAATCTAATAAACAATGTCTATTTTAAAAAACAATAGCAAACATCAACTTAATGGTGAAACTCTGAAAATGTTCCGTTTGAGATCAAACAAGTATGCCCTGGCAGGTGTGACTCAGTTGGTTAGAGCATCATCCAGTACACCAAATGGTGGCAGGTTCGAATCCCGATCAGGGCACATACCTAGACTGCAGGATCGATGTTTCTCCCTCCCTCTCTCCTTCCCTCCCTGTCTCCCTCCCTCCCATCCTCTCTCTAAGATCAATAAAAGAAAAGAGAGATCAAAGAAGTATGACAACCATTTCCACTTCTTATCCACCATCAAGTCTTAATAGTTCTATTTCCAATATATATCCCAAATCCATTCACTTCTCTTTAGTATTACCACCATAGTTCAAGCTACCATTATCTCTCATGTACAATATTGCAATATCTACCTCACTGGTATCCGTGCTTTCACTCTTATCCCCCTCTAATCCTTTTTCCTCACCGGAGTATATATTTTTTTCCATTGCTTTTCTTTTTTTTTCTTTCTTTTTTTTTAAAGTTTATGGGGTTTTTTTGTATATATCTTTATTGATTTCAGAGAGAGGAAAGGAGAGGAAGAGAGAGAGACAGAAACATCAATGATGAGAGAGTCATTGTTTGGCTGCAGCCCGCAACCCAGGCATGTGCCCTGACCAGGAATCGAACCCTAATCGCCTGGATCCTAGGTCAATGCTCAACCGCTGAGCCACGCCCGGCTGGGCTCCATTGTTTTTCAGAGAGTGTCAGGGAGAGAAAGAAAAAACATCAATGTGAGAGACACACATCGATTGGCTGACTGCCGAACCTGGGCCAGGGATAGAGCCTGCAACGGATGTTGCCCTTAACTAGAATCAAACCCGAAACCCTTCAGTCTGAGGGCCAACATTCTAACCACTGAGCAAAACCAGCTACGGCAGTAACAACTTTTTAAGTTGTCTGGACCTAACTATTTAACAAATTGAACCCACAAGCATTTCTTTTGGCCTAAGGGCACCATGAGCCAAGAAAGTTTGGGAACTACTAGTCTGAATAATCTATAGGTCTGCAAACTATGGCTACTGGGCCAAATGGGCCCTTAAGAGTATTTTTTTACATTTTGAACGGGTTGTAGAAAACAAAACACAACAAATGAAGAATATGTGACAGAGACCATGTAGTCTGCAAAGCCTGAAATATTTACTTTCTGGCTCTTTGTCCACTCCTGCATTTACACTACCAATAACTAGAGTTAATATGTTCCATAGTGTCCACTGATATTGGCTCTAGACCGGTGCTGTCCAATACAGTAGCTATATAAGCTTAAGTTAATTAAAATAAAATTTAAAATTCTGTTCTTCAGTCACAATAGCCACATTTCAGGTTCTCAATAGTCACATGTGACTAATGGGCACGGAGTTGAACAGTGTAGATATAAAACATTACCATTATCACTGAAAGTCCTATCAATATCTAGAGTATCTAATACAGTCTCTTATGTATCATCAAACATATCATTAATACTACCATTCCAAACATTTTTACTCAGTTTTCATCTCATTGACATCTTATAAATATTTCCAGCCATCACATAGTCAAGAAGAATTACAGTGCTTTGTACTCAACCTTCAATTAGCAAAATCTTAGGTATTTACCTCCAAAAATCATTCTTCCCTTCAAGGTACACCTCATATGCCACTTTCTCCATGAAGAGGTATCAAATAAGGTCTTCCTTCTCTGTGCTCCCATACAATTTTAATATGTCCTACAATCCTTTGCATTGTCTTGTATTATAGTTATTTGTGTATATTATCTCCCTTTCTGGACTGTAACAAACTCTTAGATTAGAGACTCTGAATCATCTGCTCCCAGCCCTAGCATAAGACAACAAGGAACACAATAAATAATCTGAAGAATTCGATTGATCCAATTCAATTGAAATGAAAACTTCAATCTTAATATCTAGAGTAAGCTCTGCTTAGTCTTCTCTGACAGCTCTATGAATTTATCTTTAAAATTCCAATTGGCAATTTTTAAATTTTTTTTTTTCTTAAACTCTAGTATGGAGATTAACAGCAAGAAAAGGGGCTTTAACTATGAGCTAATAATGGAGAGAGAAAGACTTACAAAAACCCATTTGTGGCGTACTAATACCAGCTTGCTTGCTAATGTTAATTTTATTCGCAGGAAACCGCAAGTTCGTTCAGTGCTGCTAGCACTCCATACACTGTAAACAAACTACGACAAGCCGAGCGTTTAAAATCACTTATTGCTGTCACTTCATTTCTAGTTAAGACAAGACTGAGTCGGAAACACAAACAACCGAGAGCTCCCTAAGGAGGGGAAGAGTCCAGGGAGCACCGACAGAAGGCCGCGGGGCGCCGCGGCCGAGCCAGCCGAGCCGGCCCAGGGGGGCCAGGCGCGGATGGGAAGTGCTGGGGAGGAGGGAGGCGGCACAAGGTGCAGGCCCAGGCGAGGAAAGAAAGAGCCCCACTTTGGGCCCAGCGCTGTCGTGGGCCGCCTGGCTGAGGGAGCGTCCCCGACCTTCCACGGGTGGACTTTCAAAGCGCTCATCCAAAACCTGAAGCCCTTCCACCCCGCGCCAGGAGCCCAGGACGAAAGGGTAATTCTCTTTACCTGCTGTAGCCTCTTGTTTGACAAATTCTCCTCAGACTTGTTTGGGGACTGCAGTCCTTAGAGGACCAGCTCACCAACGCCTCTCGACTTCTCCTCACAGCGCCCAGGCTGCCTCCGGGCAGTATTCAAATCTAACCGCCTAGACGATGCGCAAGCGCAAAGCAGCCCTATGCGTCAGCCCCGCCCCTTAGACGCCGGAGCAACCCCATTCCGGGCTTCTTTAACCCGGCTTCCTTTCCGGCCTGTATGCCAATTTTATATCCTTCAAGGTTTCTCATTTTCTACCGAATTTTCTTTTGTTTCTCTCGCAGCAGAACCCCCATATCGTGGGAGCAGCCATCTTCTTCTGATTAGTTGCTGTAAAAAAGATCGGCTCGTTGCTTCCGTACAAAATGGCGGCCGTGATAATATTGCGTCACATCCCCCCTAGTATTACTCCCTATAGCTACCAGGAAGAGGTAGGCTTCTGGGACGAGGTGGCCGAGTGGTTAAGGCGATGGACTGCTAATCCATTGTGCTCTGCACGCGTGGGTTCGAATCCCATCCTCGTCGGAGGTGGCATTTTGCTTCAGATTTAAATAGATAAATTTATTTGCGGAAGTGAAACAGTTAAATAGACTCCCCTTGTGGTGTACTAATCTATTTACTCTAGCACCGCTAATCTCACATTTGAGGTATTTTTTTAAAAGACAGCTTTTGGAGCATTCTGAGCTCACAATAAAGAAAAGGGAAGTAATGTTGACAATGCAGCTAAAAATGCAGAGCCACTGATCAATTTGTATGTAACTAATCCTGATTTTAAGGCTGGTTTGTAACGGCTTTAGCTAACCTTCAGTTTCAGAGTCGTGGTGATTACGCGGTTAAGGCAATTCCTATTTTGGCTCAGGAGCGCCTGATACAGGATGCAGTTGCTAAAGCAAATCAAACAAAAGAGCGATTGCCTGTTGCTTTAGACAAGCATACTCTTAGTTTCGACCCAGGAGATGAAGTTTTAATAAAGCTGCTCAAATTCTTAGCTGCTTCCCTGTCCGGGTGTATCAATGGTTAGAGCGTCCTCCTCAAATGCCAAGCGGGCAGGTTCGATCCCTGAGTTTCCCCCAGCTCTTGCCAGACAGTATTTAAATTGCCCATTAGTGCTGTAGCCTCTCTAAAAACTAGTAAGCTGGCATCATTTTTCTGAGTTTTGTCTGCTTCTTGTAATGATGACTTCCAATAGAAAATAGATGTCTATCAATGTGTTCAGTCTCTACAAATAAAAAGTGAGTGGATTCTCTTCTCAAAGGAAAACCTTCAGCTGTAGAAGTTCTGAAAATACAAAG